TGTACCACAATACAAATTCGAATACACAGAAATTCTTCATTGTAGTGAATAAGAGACTGGCTCATTATCCTTCAATATAAAGCTATTTCTTTCAGGCAATTAAAATAATTAGACCTACATAATTACAGGCTTAGTGATTACCAAATCACACTCATTTGCATATCACAATCATGTGGGAGACGTTGCATTACAAGTACACATGGTGCATAACTGTATTTCTACATGGTTATTTCTATTAGTATTTATTCCAAAACTGGTCTTATTTACTGCGATTACCGTGCCCTTCTTCAAACCCTCCTCCTCTGCTGCTTTCCTCACCCCCTCGCTCCGTTTGCCTCTCTCCGTCCTCATCAGCAGGATGGTTCAGGACCGACAGAAGTTGAGTTTTTTTCCTCAACGCAAAACAATTTGTTCCAATGTCTGTATCCATAGACAATGTCACACACTGAGTTGTTACACGTGGAGACAGGAAGCCATCAATCAAATGTGACCTGCAGTGTTCAGCCAGTCTCAAGAGCAACAATAAGAGCCGCTTTTTCTGCGTGGAATTCCAACAATTTCTAGGTTCATTTACACTCAAAGCTTTCACAACTTCTTTGCATTCTCACTTTTTTAATCTGAATTTCCAGCGGCTTAATAGAGGTCAGACTTTATAATCAGAAATGGCACGAGCACTAATTCTATTATCTCGTTTGCACAGAGTAGCTGCAAAAGGAAAACAAAACCTTCATATGTGCTCGACTCCAACAATTGTTCATTTTATACCTGCACACAACCACAGATCTAACAGTCTGTACTCTGTCAGATGAGTAAGTACATTTCTGTATTTTTCAATGTTGATTTTTTTTGGTTTGTTTGTGTTTAATTGCTTGTATTTTGTTGTATTTGACTTGGTGTGTCTATTTTCCTTTTGTGGTTCATCCTTCCTTACCTGTACCATTATTCATTATTCCATTTCTGGTCTTGAATTTATGCTTCCCTACTTGTGGTGCCTTATTTGTACTTTCCAACCCGGGACCTTGACTCCTCCTCTCTTAACTTTTAAACCTGTACACACCCATACCCAACCTTACCTACTGGAACCATTACACATCCTTCTCCGCCTGGTCGCGAATTCATCCTTCCCTTCCAAGAACCCTTGTTCGGTCTCTCTTTCTGGGACCCTTCAAAGATCATTCCTTACCTGGACTATCACTAATCCCTCTCCAACTGTCGCTCATCCTTCTCTTCCAGGATCCTGATGTCAACCTTTCCTACCTGCATGTTTACCTATCCTTCCACACCTGGATCCTGATTCCTCCCCCTCTATCTGGACTCTAACTAATCCTTCCTCACCCTGACCTCTACTCAACCTTATTTGTAGTTACTCTTAGACCCTTAAGTGAACTAATCTGTTAAACTCAATGAGACACTTTTCAAAGCTGCCATAAAGTTGGACACCTTGAACATTTCAAGTTCAAGTCCAAACATTGTTGTTCGGTTTTATACTTCAGGCCTTGAAGCGAGCTCTACCTCTACCTCATCCATCCTGCTCTACCTCTGTCACGGCCTTTCAGACTCAGGTATTCATTCTTGATTTGTGAAGATTTTTAAGCCAAAATCCCATCTTTTCTCAGTCGTATCTTACACACACATTGGGAGGAAGTCAAACATCCAATTCAACCCTTTTTGTTCAAGAACAAAAAAACGAAAAAGCTCCAATAAGAGGGGTACATTTCTTGAGGATTTTTTTTTATTACCAACCTTGACTGAATGGGGTCCGTGCATAAAAACCATAAAAATATCCCTTTCACTCTTTTTTCATTCTGCCGTCAGTTACCTGACCTTTCAAAAAGCCCCCTTCACCCATCGGATCCATAAAACTCCAAAGGTACATTGAAAAGCTCTTATTATATCTGAATGAGCCTCCCAGGAAACAGACAGCTTGATATCGCCATTCATTCATGCACCATGGTTTGGCTCACACTGAAATCACATGGACAAAGAAAGGAGAATTATTTATAACCTGAAGGCTTTATAGCTCGCACTGGCTTCCTTCATAACAGCGATGTACATGTAGAGCTACTGTATGCATGTATGTAAGCCCCGGTCCATGGAATTGGAAACATTACTTTCATACTGCACTGAATCAGCTAAGTGGTAATGTTCTTGTTCGCTTATGAAAAGACTGTACATGTTGTAAGATTGAAATAACCCGGCCTTCTTTTGTTTAGTGCCGCAACTCAACCTGGAAAGAAGGAAGAAGGACAAGAAACAAGGGCGAGAAAGTGCTGGAGGTGGGGTGAGACGGCAGGAATATCTGGTAAAGGGTTTGCAAAGAAGACAAATGTGCTGTCCATGTTGCTCCGGTGATGGTGGGATGGGGGTTGGAGACCGTAGCGAGTGCAACAAGAGGAGACGTGTCCATTTACTTGACGCTCCGCTGCTGACTTCCATTACTGAACCCTGTGGCGGGAAGGCAGCCATGACAAATAGTGAAAGGACCAGCAGGCTAATGGTATACAGAAAACAGTGTGGACCCCTACAGCACCCAGGGACAGGGAAACACATTGTTGGCTGGATTTACAAATAATTCAACAGCTGTGGAAGCGCTTGGTTACATTGATTTGGGAACGTATTAGGATGCAGCGACAGTATACCGTCAGTCACTTGTGGTCAACGACATGGCGAATCCCACTTTGTAGTCAGACAGCAGTTTTGAGGGAAACAAAGCAGGTATTTACGCGACTACAAATCAGTTGATTTGCACTTCCCTGTCCCGGGAAGCTTTTGTAATTCAAGGCCAGCAGAGGCCTTAATTCTGCCACAGGTGTTTGGCAATGTTGACAAGCAGATTGCTTACATTTTCCAGACAACAGACACGACTTTGAATGCTTATGTATTTCCTGTAAGCGTTATATGACTCTTTAACCCTCCTATTATCCTCAAATATTACTGACACGTTTTACCCTTGGTATATTTGCCTCCAGAAAATGATTTACATGCAATTGTTGACCAAGATTTTTTGTCAGTCACTTTGTTTATTTATTGAGTACATAAATAACCCCTTAAGAATGAAACTTATCGGTGACTTGACATGTTCTCTAGCGCCACCAATAGGCCAAACTTTTAAAATAGAATAAATGTATCTTGAGAAGTTTTCATACAAATCCTGTAGCACCAAACTTTCTGTTTCAGAGTTAGTGTATCTTGAAAATCTTTCATCCAACATTTTTCTAATCTGGGGTGCACATTCATGACTCTCACTGGATAAACCATATTGATTATTGTGCATGAACTACCAATGTCCTTGAGGGAATACCCCACCCTCCACAGCACAGGAAATACAGTATCAGTCCTATACTTCAACATGTGTGAGTACAGCAGGTCACTCAAACAAACACACACACCTTCATGCCCATGGTGCAGGAAAGTTCTCATGAGAATATTGTTTCCCCCTCTTCCATGTCATGGTAGCACCAAAAATGGAAAATTATGGTCCCTCTACTGACGTCAACAACAAGGTAGACGTGCTGCTATGAGTGTGTCTCTTTGTATAACCATCAATTGAAAATACTGTATTGAGGTGATCATTTCAGAGGTATTTGTAGTTGGAAAGACTTGGGTGTGATCAACTTGCAAGCCTACAGTGGCTTCCTCATTTTGGAAGTCAAGTTGTTTCCCACACGTCCACACCACGGGAAGTATCAACGTCCTGGAGGGAATAGTTGTTTTTCCTGCCTCCCTGTTATGTATCAACTCAAAAGTATCAACACTGCACCTGTAGGTATGGGGATGTTAGGTCACACACAGAGACAGTGCAATTTGTGTACAGCACATTGAAAATATATCATCATGATAATTTTATGATGAATTTTATGCTGTATTATTTTTTAAAATGATAAACATTGTCATCGTCGTTGTTTTCTTCGGCTTCATCTGGGTCCGGGTCGCGGGGGCAGCAGCTTCAGGAGGGAAGCCCAGACGGCCCTCACCCCAGCCACTTCCACCAGCTCCTCCGGGGGGATTCCCAGGCGCACCCAGGCCAGGCGAGTGATATAATCCCGGTCCTGGGCCGGCCACGAGGTCTCCTCCCGGTGGGACATGTCTGGAACACCTTTAACGGGAGGCGTCCAGAAGGCATCCTAACCAGATGCCCGAGCCACCTCAGCTGACTCCTCTCGACGTAGAGGAGCAGCGGCTCTACCGAGTGTCCAAGCTCCTTTCCCTATCTCTAAGGCTGAGCCCGGCCACCCTGCAAAGGAAACCCATTTAGGCCGCTTGTATCCGCGATCTTGTTCTTTCAGTCATTACCCACAGCTCATGGCCATAGGTGAGAGTCGGCACGTAGATCGACTAGTAGATCGAGAGTTTCGCCTTACCGCTCAGCTCTTTCTTCACCACGACTGATCGGTTAAGCGGTCAAACCCACAACCTTGTGCTGTTTTGGTCACTTTTGTGAAAGCTGTGTACTGTTTTGAAGTTTCCCCAAACCATTAATGCCTTTAAAGCTCTGAACTACACTGAACTGGAGGGCCATTACTTCACAGAGCAGCACAGCTATCATTAATTCAGGCGACTTTCACTGTGTGCTCTGAGACCGAGGAGACAGAAACAAATGTGTTTCGTTTTTTTTTTACACAGGCCAAGATCCTCGTCTCTGAAGGAAAGTTGAAAAAAAAGTGTTTTCTCAGTTTCCTGGTCTGAGACGACAGATTAAAGTTGTAGTCGGGCATGTTGCTATGGCGATGAACCCAGGGCATTCAGCCTCTTCCTTATCCTAGTGCGTGAAATCTGAGTTTGAACTTCCTCAGGGCTTTACATCCCTCGAGGACTTTGATTTACACCAGAATGTATTCGTCGCTGAAGCCGGCTCTCCATTGTTTGCTGCTTTTTTTCATTATTCATCTTCCTCTTTCATGTTTCGGCGCCGAATGCTCATTTACAGTCCAGCTTTTCCTGTGAGAGATGAGAAAGTGATGCAAACTTCGGCGTGGAACGACTTACTCAGAGGCAGACACTATTTTTCATCTCCGTTTCTTTAACCGGAGACCGATTTTATTGAAGTAATCATACATACAACATAAAGACATTACCAGGTTTTCCCCCAATATTTATTTTCTGATAAATAGTGGTCATTTGGCGTCAGAAATACCCAATCTGTCGCCATTTACCGTGAACCGAACCATGAAAAACAAGACTGCATCATTATAGTAAGCTCATACTGAAGATACAGCTAAAGCAAAACTGCACAAACATCAATAACCTCACATTTAAAACCCTCTCACAGACACGAGAGGACAGACACACACATTTTATAGCTTTACAATGTAGCACGAGCAGGCACCAAATGTGGCAGAGAGAATCCAGCAGACTGACGGACTGCTTTGGTAAACACATGTAAACGCACAAACACAGACGGCTCCATCACAGGGGAATCAGTCGAATGCTAATTAGAGCTAAATATAAGATTTCATCACCTCATATCTGCGCTAGCTCTTCACCTCAGCATTTCTCACTCTGTTTACTCGTGGTGATACTTTTTTTTCTTCCCCTTGAAGCCGAGACTTTAACTTGACGCACATGTCGACACTTAATACGCTCCTTCAGAGGGTGTTAAGAAAGGATGAAATTCATCTGTTCTTCCTTTGTGAGATAAAAAAAGGAAGAAAAAAGCCACGAAAGACATGATTCCTTTAAACGAGGACATGTTCAGTAAGGCTGAGTGTAAAAAGAGACGAACGAGAACAGACCCCACGTAGCTCTCAGGTGCAGGACCTGGAGGCCAAACAAAATATTTCATTCACTCGGCGCCTGAGGCGAAGCTACAAAATTTTCTATTTGTACTAATTAACTGTTTCACGGAAAAAAACAAACTAAAAAAAAATCAGCCGAGGCACATTTTACTCACAGCTACTCCACCAGGAGACCATTATAAATAATAGAGAAACATCTTTTTCTCGTGTACTTACAAGTGTTTCGTCTGCGTTTGCTGCCGGCCCTTACATTTGCAGTCACTTACAAAGAGCAGCTTTGTTTGCAGGTTAGGAAAGTTTCCTTCGGGTGTGTAATCCTTCAATTAAAATTCTTTTAATGAGCTCCAAAATGTGTGCGAAATAATAATGAGCGGTGTAAAGAGCTCACTGTTAAACTGTGAAATGAGCAGGAACAGTTCCGTATACAGCCGTGAAAGTGACACGAATCTTTACGTGACACCGGTGACATGCCCTGTTTGGTTTTTGTGTCCAGACTTCATCAAAATTTGCTCCCCGTGTTGTGTGCGGAGCTAAAGAGGCAAATGAGGTTTGCTGTCTTTTCCCGCCTGGAGCGCCTAATGGGATTCTTGTCGAGGGAGCCAGAGATAAGGAAGAGACCGACTGTGACCGCAGTCCTGAGCCTCCGTCTTATTCCTTTTTTTAAATTTGCATCAGAAAAGGATAAGAATTAGATGTCTAACCTCTGGAGGGCCATTTTACCCCATTTTCAGGAGACTAAAAACTTACTGCGTAGGGGTAAAAATCGATTTCTCTGCTTTGTTTCAGGAGACGTTCAGCGTTAATGACAAGTGGCTTAGGGTTTCCCAACTCCTCCATGTAGTCTCCAAGGAACAGCTCAACATCTCAGGTAAAATGCTTATTTACTTTCAGGAGACTGATACCACTTTCTTGCTGCTACCAACCATTTAGCTCACGTGGTTAGCAAACAAGAGAAACCCCTTCAGAAATGTTTGTAGTTGGCATAAAACATTGAAATTAAAAGAGCACAGAAGCTAGCTAACTAAGCGAACGTTCCCCTTATCCATGGCTAGGTTCAAAATCACGTATTTTCACTACTCCTTACTTCTTTTCACATGAGCTCTCTGAAGGCAGACGAATATCTTAGTGAAACTAACAGTGCTAATACTAGGCTAGTTGAAAATTGCGTATGTGGTGTTTTTACGATTGCAGAGAAGTTTACGAAGACCAGTGTTATGGCCCTACTCATACAGCGCCTGCGATAAAGTTCTGCTCTGCTTATGGTGGCAAATAGTTTTTTTTAACTGTTAAACGTTTTGGTAAGGAATCCTAATCTTATCACTCTTTTAACCATTAGGAAAATTGCCATTAATATACTACTTTTCTTTAAATTAGCTTAATTTATTAGATCCGCCAAGGAGGTTATGTTTTCGGTAGCGTTGGTTTGTTTGTTTGTTTGTCTGTTAGCAACTTTACAGAGAAAGTAACAAACGGATTGACCTGAAATTTTCACCAGGAGGATCCCATTAAATTTTGGTGGTGATCCGGACAAAATTCACAAACACACAAAAATAAGGGTGTCGTTGGCACAGTGGTGTGGATAGGTGGCACAGTGGTGCAGTGGTTAGCACTGTTGCCTAACAGCCAGACCAAAACATCAAACATTGGACGTCGAAGAGGCGTGCAGATCAAGTCAGTATTGAGTCGGTCCATCAAAGACCACATCTAGACGTCAGTGCGATGAAAAATAGGTGAGAAATTTCAATGTCCAAATTGGACCTTTCTTCGATGACACTTTGACGTTTAGAATTTGGACGTCATCTGAAAACCAAATCTAGACGTCGGCACAACGTGCAAAATGGATCCAAGATTTAGACGTCATTATTGGACCTCTTTTAGACGTTGAAATGACGTCTACATTTGTACCTCATTGTTGAAAAAATATGTTAGATGTCATTTCGACGTCGCATTGCGCAGTGGGTTGTGGTGCACCGTAAAGTCATCATCTGGTGATTTCGTCAAGCCCTCTTATATTTCACTGTAGCTTTCGGAAATAGCATCTACACTGTTTCTTATCCATGTAGCTTCATTGAGAAATTAACGAGTAGCATTTCGAGGAGTCTACGTACGCCCAGTAGGTCAGAAAATGAGAAAGCTCCAGGAGGGGTTGTTTTCCTGGTATAAATAATGCATATGCACACCTGCTGGCCTGCTGAGTTGAAGGGGAAAAAAACAGATGTAAAATTCAACAAACGCATTTATTTTCAACAGAAAATCTGGGTCCCTCTGGCAGGCTTATCTTTTAACAAGCAAGCTTAGCTAAAAGTTTCCCTCTGTTCCTTTTAAATGCGAAAGTCTTGTTGTTGCCTTGGAAAACAAAACCAGCTCTGGATTAAGAGGCTTACACTCATTATTCGCACTAAGCTCTGGTTATTCAAAATCCTAAACAGTTTGCATTGCAACAAGTAATCGGCTTGACTTCCTCAAAGTTCGGAAAGCGTTTGGATGAATACAATTACAAAGTGAGGTGAAAAGGTTGTAGTCATTGTCAGCAGCAAACCCAAAGCAGAAACCAGCAGATGTGGTGAATTCAGGTGAGGCTCTGTTTTTTTTTTAGTGCCAATTGTCCGTCTACGAACCAAAACCAGCTGCCACCTCTGCCATCTCTCGTACCGTACTCTCGGACACCCGCTTGTCGCTGCAAATCTCAGCTGTCACCCACACTCTATTGTCATTCATGTATTCATACGCCCGCACTGAAAAAGGGACACAAAGGAGGGTGGTGGGTGTGCGGGGGAGCTGAAGAGATGATGTGAGAACACAAAAAAAAAGGGTACCGAGCGTAAAAGTGGCACTTCGCTGTCAATGTGCACTACGAATGGGAGGTAACACAACTCTTCTTTGTAAAACCCTGTTGTCTGCCTCCATTTTTGATAGCATGTCAAATTGTTCATAATGTGGCGCAGAATTGGGTTTTATGATTTGGTAACATTTAACAGACTGATAGGAGAGTGGTATCAATCCCCTGAACGAACATATTTGGCCATGAAACTGTTGCTGTTTAACCGTTAACAGACTGTAGCTTCAAACTCTGCACACAGACAAGGACGCTATATCGGTTTGTCGCCAAATAAGTGAATAAATTTCATCCATTCATGAAATCCTGTGTTTCTGTTTAAGCGCTCCATTAAAATGACAGCTTGTGCTCATATTTTATTCATAATTCCACCCTAATTAAGTGTACTTTTCTTACGCTAGTTTTCCTGATGATCCACTTTGTAGCGCACTTTGAGCTCTCGAATGAAAGGTGCCTTTGAAAATCAGCGTTGTAGGTTCGAGGGGGCTTCGATATGGCACATCAGAGGAGGAATTTGTCTCCCGTTTCTCAAAGACAGAGCTGTGAGGTTTCTTTTGCGCCGCAAGCGAGGGTCCCTGAGAAACACCTCGTTAGTCTGAGCGAGGAAAAAAATACGGGGTCTTAGGTAACGCCTGGAGTAATTGGCAGCGCCGGAGCAAGAAGGCAGAGCGAGAAGATTAAAGACGCCGCAGAGATAATTAAGCAGGAAAGGTGAGTTTGGCTAAAGCACTTCTTCGTGTGCAGGTGAATTCAGCCTTTTACAGACGGACTACCTGCTCTTATCCTGTTAATCCACGTCCTGATGTTAATGTCCGCATCAGTATTCATCATACATATTTAGCAGCGGAAACAGGAGATTTATGGTCCATGACCAGGCCTGTTACAGTCTGGTTGTTGCACTGCAGCGTGGATGAAGACAGCAAGATATCTTATTTATGCATCCAAAGCGGCAAGGTCGTCCTCAGATACTTATCTTCAGGATGTCTGTGTAAACACGCACCTGTTATCAGCCTGCTCTACACAGTTGTGCTGCAAAAAAGGGTGAAAAGTTATCAAAGGAGGATGTTGTCCCCCAAAAACGTTTATGTTGTTGTAAAATACCAGAAGTGGTGAAACAGATGTCGATCAGACAGAAACACAAAATCAGAGCTCATCCGGAGAAAAACTCGACTAACTCTGGATCCCTTTTGATTCTTTTTGGTGTAAACACGCTGACTACTTGGCATTCAGCCGTTTCAGGAATGTGAGAGCTGACAATGCGCAACTTATTCAGTAGAAAGAACACACATAGAGACGCCCTGAATGAATGAAACATGAAACAACATTAAATAAAAAAAGCAGAAATCCAAACTGAGTCAGTATGTCCTCATTCCTTGGTATGTCTCATAAATAACCTTTGGCACAGTGAGTATTTACATGTACTTTGTCATATTTTCTGTGTAGTTTTTCACTCAAATGTCTCTCAGCCGGTGAAAAAAACTACCAGGACAACACAAAGCTGCACAAAAAGCACAGGCACTTGATGTTCTCTTCAGGATGCAACAAAGCGAATGCCGCCAATGAAAGGAAAGAGGAGAAAAAAGTCACCGACGCTGTTTTTTCCCAGCCTCACATTCTGCAGCCGTGCACACAGACGAAGGGAGACCTTTTCAGACGGCCTCACAAACGAAGGGCAGGGCGATTACTCAGCTCATGACTCACGGCACATTAGGATGAAGAGTGAAAATCAGGAAATGGGAAAAGCAGATGGTGCACGGGGTATCCGCCGCTCCGACGGCCACCGATGTGACCGTCCAGGATCCCCCCTCGAGGCTCAGCAGTTGCCGGTGGTGCTGACGGTGGTGTAGCTAAACTTGGACATGGAGGTGGCCATCGATGTCGCCATGGAGACGCCGGTCATGCCATCCTCCCCTGCCTCCTTCTTCCGGCAACAGCAGCACCGGCGGCATAAGGGGTTGCGGCAGCAGCAGGCGAAGGTGGAGAGTAGGGCCTTGCGGAAACGCATGTTCATGAAGCAGTAAATGATGGGGTTGACGCAGGCGGAGGAGTAGGAGAGCAGGTGGATGAAGGAGATGGGTGCTCCTGAGAGAGCCTTAGAGGCAGACTTCAAGTCAAAGGCCTTCCAGGTGTTGGCGGAGTAGAGCGGCATCCAGCAGATGAAGAAGAGCGCCACGATCACCATCAGCATGCGGATGACTCGCCGCTTGGCCTGCAGCTTGGCCTCTGAGGTGTTACTCCGGGCGCGCTCGGTCTTGGCTTGGTTGGCTGCAGCTGAGGCGGAGAGGGTGGGGAGCTCCACGGAGGAGGAGGGTTTTTTCGACACCTGGATGTAGCAGCCGTCGTCGTCATCGTTGGTGCCTGTGAGCGGCCTTCCAACGCCGTTCTTCTGGGCTGGACAGAATCATGAAATTCAGAGAAGTTAGGCCCAGATCATCCAAAAACAAATTTCCCTCGCTGTCTGTCTGGTTTGTTTACACTTTTTGTTCCTTTGAATACTTTGGTTTTTTTTTACAGAAAGAGGAAATATTATTGAAGGGGTTCTTGAAATGGGCAGTATGAATAAAAGCTAGTTTTTAAAGTTCACACAGGAACAAACACACATTATTAATCCCTCGGGGGGGAAAGCAGGTAGGAGTAATGATAATAGGAAAAAGTCACATGCATCTCAAGGCTGTGGAAAACAAAAGGTTAGAGTACGGCACCATGATAAATAACAAGAAACCGGCTTTGGAAAGTGGTTAAAGGAACAAAAACACCAGCTGATAACTGAGGATTCGAGTCCATCCTTCAGATAAAAACACCGTGTGTCGAGATTTACAGCTGCTACTGAAGGTTATTTCAGATCCTTTTGACCTCGATGATTCACGCCAAGACTGGGATCCATGGAAACTGGCGCGCCTCATGCACATAGTTATAGCAGCAGTTATAACCCACCTGAATGGACCTCATTTTTACTTTAAACTTTTTCATTTTTTTTAGGGTTTAAAACTCTAAATGAGTTGTAAGATGAGCAGAGAAAGTGTTTTATTGTTTTGGAGGTAGCAGGTGCAGCACCTGTAGGTAGGTAGGAACAAAATATGCCGTCTTCCGCTACGGGCAAAACAAACAGATTCTCCCTCACCGGCGTGTTACATATTTATTTCCCTCTTATGCTTCACAACACTCATTTGCATCTTTAAGAAGTTGCACTTTGTTTACACACTCTGCTGTTTCCTGCCTTTTTAATGTGATTCTCTGCTTCTTCTGTTCTGTTTGGAGTCAAATCAATGTGAGCAAAAACCTCTTTGCAGTTTTGAATCATTCCTAGCGAATCTTACCGGCGCTCTCTGTGTTCTGGCCCATCTCGAACTGCATGCCTCGGTAGAGCTCTCTGGAGATTAGACCGTAGGCTATAATCATCACGACTCCCGGGATGAAGAACAAAGTGAACAGCAGCAGCACATACCTGAAAACAGCCAGAATGGAAAGACAAGAGGTCAAAAACAACTCATAAAAAAAAAAATCGTAGCTGCTTCAGCCCTCAGGAGCTGCTGGAAACAACAGATCCTCGAGCTGCAGATTAAATAACAACTTCTTGAACCTTACAGATGGTTCAAACCTCCGAGCAGCCCTCTCTGCCCCAGTGGTGTCCAGGGGAGCAGCTCCTGTCAGCTAATTTACAGCCAGCAGTTTTATACTGATGCAACATTTGCTTCAGTCCAAGTGCAGGTTTTCTTACAGCTGTACCCCGAACAGTCAAACTCAGCAACCTATCAGGGTACAAAGAGCCGGAGGGGTCGACTCCTAACACTTTGTTTTCTGCTGAAAAAGTTATAAAGTTTGGTTGGATTGGTGATCAGTCATAATAATTACCAAGAGTGGATGTGTGGAAAATGTCAAAACAGAATTTGAAAGCTCCTAGGACAAGTTTTATTAAAGGTGGGGTAGGCAGGATTTCATTAAAGAAGCATCTTTTTTTGTGGTGTATGTACAAAAAGCTTTTAATATCAGTCAATAGGTATTAGTTATTGATGACATTTGGCAAAATCACAATATCGCTGTGTTCCGTTATGTCTGTGTAGTCAACATTTAAAAATTTTTGAGCAGCCCACTAGGCCTGTCACGATAACAAATTTTGCTGGACGATAATTGTGCTACAAATTATTGCCGATAAACGATATTATTGACACCGTTTTTTAAATTATAGATAATGATAAAAAATGGCATAATAATGCGAGTACACCGTGTCAAAAGTGATAAACTTTAATTTCACCCACGACGAAGACGTAACGTTGACGAGCTAATCGTAAGTCGGAGATGACTAAAATGTGACGAGAGGAAAGTGCGTTTACGTTGATGGGACGAGACGAAAATCATGAACAGAGTTGCAAAACTCAGTCAGTTAAACGCTAAACATACAGGAGCAGCTTCAGTCCGCTCTGACAGCTCTCATCATCCTGCTGTGCTCCTCCAACACACAGACACACACGCGCGCGTGCACACACGTGGAGTTTTGTGGTTGACGAAAACAAAACTGGTTTAAAGCCGAAATATTCCCACACTTGGGCTGTTGCGTTCGGTTTAGACACCAAAGCTGTCGTGTTCATTCTGTTTGCTTGCTTTTCACTCACGACGCTCACTTGCAGCACTGTATCCAAAAGTCTGTGTGCCTGTGCGCGCCAGCCCCCTCGTGACAAAGACACTGAATGACTGACAGGAGGGTTCACTAACTCCGTTCATTCCGCTATAGAGCCAACGCCCCCAGGTGCCGAGAACAATGCGCAGAGTGAGACCTCTTCTCTCATCCAGCGTGTTTGGTAGCGAGAGAGGAGGAAAACAAACGCACGTCAATTATCGAGGCTGGCAAAATGACCGACCTCGTTTACATTTACGGAGCGATAAGGCGATTTATTGATTATCGCGACAGGCCTACAGCCCGCTCTTTCTGACTGTAAACAAAGCCGTTTTCCGCCTCCCCAACCTGATTGGTTATGAGTCACGCTCCACGTCCTCGAGTGATGCTCATGAGGCCAAACGAAGTTAGCGTGCTACAATATTGGACAGTAGAAACCAACCAGAAGGAACGGAAAATTGTCTGAATCCTCCTTTAGCCACGACTGCCAACAAGCAAGAAAACCAAGTAAATACCAGAGACTCTGGCGGAATAACGGGCGCTTAAAAAGGAGGTAGACCACCAAGGCAAGAGCTAAAAAGCCGGGTCATAATCAATGAAGCTAGCTAGAAGTGATGGGAGACGCTTCGGGATCTTCCGGACCCTGTAACCTTTCTGCTACACAGGTAAACCGATTTAACAAAGTAAGCCAAGTGGGGAAAACTGGTTGGGAGGGGTAGAGTTTACATTCAAGATTTCTCCTATAAACTGGCACTTCCTCAGATCCTGCCTACCTCACCTTTAAGTTTTATTTAGGAGGTAGATGTCAGCCAAAACTACTTTGTCCATAGGGGGCGCCAAAATCGACACAAACTAGAGTTCCTTATAGCAGCCTAACCCTCAAGCTCAATCGGACTAAGCTCATAATTCATTTTTTTTCACCAAATTGGACTTCTCTCCTTGTCCACGTACACATGTAGCTGAGAAAATCAAATTATTGGCGTGACCGTGTCCTCCTCCCCAAAACTAGGGGGAGATATAGGTATTTTCAGCGTGCTGTTTCCGGTTGACCCCGTACAACAACATCAGGGTCGTGCCAGACGTCAGAAGTGGCTACAACTGCTGCTGGGCATTTTCGAACAAGAAGATTGAGCATCGTACGGCGTTGTTTTTGTCGTACATGATGTACACGCTACTTTTTCTGCAGACGAGGTGCACGCTACTGCTGTTCTCTGGTGTTTTTGTTCTGGGGTTACGGGGGCGTGCCGCACACGCACTTGCATTGTCCTATCAGACTCCCACTACACTGGTTACATGGTACAGAAAACAGAATTACAATCGCATTATCTGGGTGTCATGAAACTCTGATTATAGTCGGACTAAGATGTTTACATGCATTTCAGTTGTCCGGTCTTAATCGGAGTAAGGCAATAATTCTGTTTTCTCAAGTGTCACGTAATCGTACTGAGTGTTTACAAGCTCTGGATCAGTCCGTCTGTTTCACAGGAGCTCTAACAGACTCTACAGATGGGTGAACCCGCAGAACCAGTCGGATCACTGCCGCTGTTGTTGCAGCCACACTTCTCAACCTATGGAGTGTTTTCAACGTGACCTTTTGAAATCACTCTGTTAACGTATTGACAGTTTACACAGGAATTGTGCAAATTTACTCTTGACGCTGTCATATGGTAACAAGGAGGCCTTAGATACACACCTGCATACCAGACAGGCACGCACGGCTTTACATAAGCCGCCAGACAGGAGCGCAATTTTCCCTCCATATTCTGTCAAATAAAGGTGGTTAAATATGCTATAATGTGACAATTGCAAGACATTTTCTGCGCCTCCAGGCTGTGTGCCCGGCTGTTTCTTTTTTTCTTTTTTTGATCATAAGAGATCCATTTTTCTCGAGCAGAGAGAACAACGATAATGGCTTTGCCGGAGTGCCTGGAGTGATGACACCTCAAAGAAGAAAGTGGGGGGAACTGAAAGGAGCAAGAAAAAAGAAAAGAAAACACTGAGAGATGTTTAAACAGGGTATGAAACTCAAAGAGCTCTGGGGCTCTTCGCGTCTGTATCCCGCCGCAGAAAGCACTTTGCATACAGTCTCTTTAAGACTTTGAACTCTGTGCAACTTTGTTTTAATGTGTCAAAAGTAAGATGGATGTAGACCCACTCAGGATTAGATGAAAGTAGAGGCTGTCCGGGGCGAAATGAACGACATGCGGATACAAAAACGAGGAAGCAGGCTTTTGTTTTGAAGCTGTAAACAAAAAAGAAGGAATAAATAAGATTTTAGAAAACAGCTGCCACTTTGATCGCTGTAAATCTTTACAATCTGTGCTTCATCTCCATTTTTATTCGATCAGGGCGTGCTTTTGAAAGCGGCGTTAGACAGGAAGAGGCCGGGGTTTCATTCAATCTCTGATATTCTAATGTCTTCCCTGGGCTCTCCTCTGAACTCTGCACAGCCTGCTCTTCTGTTCACACGTTTTTTTTTAAAAAAGGCTTCAGTCACAGCTTCTCATCACGCCGACTGTTTGATGGCGTGGAAAACCTGCCAGACAAAAGGTGTCGGGAAGTAGATAGAAGAGCGAAGGAGCACACTGACGGGGAGGGAGACCCAGGTGAATCAGAGCCGAGGTAGGAGGACACGTGGTGGAAAAACATGAATATTCACGGCTCGCTCTTTTAAAACGCTCCAACGTCACCTGAATGCTTCATGATTATCAACCAGGAAAACTCTAAAAAACAAATCATCCAGTCTTTCAAGCTCGCCTTTTAAACCTGAGCTGGTATTTTATCATAAATTAAAGCAATGTTTCGCACTTTTGATTGCCAAAATGGAGCTCAGTCTGTCCCTTTGCTTTTCAGACACACACATAAACACACCCGCTTCCTTCAGTCTTTTATGATCGTGGCGCACCATATTTCTAATCATAATTAAAATCTTGAAGCATGCTAAGCTTAGGCTTTGCCGAATGTAGACCCAGCGTATATCTCCGACTGCTTCTGAAGATCCTCTGCCTTTCACTGCATTTGCATTTTGATTAAAATGACTCAGCACTTTCAGATGGAGGGCAACAACATCTGACATTTACGTTCCCTGCAGGTGGTCTGAATGGCGTTCGAGAAGTCCTCCAGACTCAAGGTAGATTTACTTAACATATCTGTGTTTCCTTATTTTAGAAAGGATTTCATAAAAATGTCTTTTTCCAAAGTTACTGTCTATTAATTGAACTCGAAGCAATTAACTGTCAAATCTGAATCCAGATTTTGTCTCTGTGGGTTCATTTCAGCTACCTTAATTCCTGTGGGAGGACAAAAGCAGTTTTAGATTAAGACAGAGATCGTCATAAAATGATATTAACATCATAAAATACTTTTATTGAATTGTACAAATTTTATCAGAGCTCACTGGAGGGTCCGTTTGTTTCAGGCTGTGGTTTTTCTCGATCTGAATTCTGATTAAATATTCAACGTCTTACAGCAGTCTCGCAGACGAAATTGAACTTTCCTGCTATCTGCGCTTTAGTAGACGTATAAGAAACTCTCAGACAGTTTTCCACTTTCCTCGGTCCATCTTTAATGAGCTCAAGCCTTAGGTGGTCTTTACACGAGTACGAATTTGTAAGACACCGGTAAAATAAACTATCGATCTGGTGATATTGACTAGGGATGCACGATATTTATCGGACCGATAAAATATCGGACGATTTGGGGGAAAATTACGTCATTTTTTATCGGTCCGATAGGTGCATTTTTCCGATAGAAAGATCCGATATATTAATGAAATTACGAGTAACTTTTGCAGGCGGAGTAGCCGCCCGTCCGAGACGCGCTGGATACGTCATCTATCGCGCCTTACTCGCAGGTCCCAAGCCTGACCCCGTCACTACCTGACAGATAATAAAATGTCTTCACCAGCATGGTCGTTTCTCTCAGTGGCAGAAGATGACAACAGCATTGCTATATGCAAAACCTGTTCAGCGAGGATTCCGAGAGGAGGAAAGAAGACGTCAAGTTTTAACACAACGAATCTGATAGCTCATCTGAAAAGTCGCCATCGTGGCGAAGCGGTATTAAAGGACTATGAGACAGCCGCCGAAGCTGCTAGCGGTACTAAAGCTAAGACAACAACACTACGGAGGATCGATGTCCCCATTCAGCAGGCGTTTAAAAACTGCAAAAGCTTCTCAAGAGACAGCGAAAAGGCTAAAGCCATGAACGACAAAGTGATGGAATTCAAAGCGGTCGACGACCAGCCTTTTTCCGTCGTTGAGAACCCGGGTTTACGTAAGTTAATAGCACACTTGGAGCCACGTTACACTCTCCCAAGCCGCCGCTTCTTCTCGGATGTGTCTCTTCCTGCACTCTATGATATTGTCGCCACATACATTCACAACCTGATCGACAAGAACGGACTACACGTGAGTTTTACCACAGACATATGGACGTCAGATGTTAGTCCGGTCAGCATGCTAAGCCTAACGTCTCATAATAGCTCCTTTACAGTTTACAGTTCAGGGGATCAAATGAAGCTCTGCTTTTTGCTCTGTTATTGTTATTTATAGCAAATGACCACATTTGAAGAGCCAAAAACTTTTGTTTGTTGTTCTAGATAGGCCAGAGCAACAAAAACATCAGTTTTCAATCGCTGCATCCTGCTCAAATTGCAGATTATATGAAGATTATAATAAATGTAAAAATATGAATTTATCGGTTATCGGTATCGGTATCGGCCATGAGAAGAAGAAAATTATCGGTTATCGGTATCGGTTGAAATTTTTCATATCGTGCATCACTAATATTGACACACGGAGACGCATATTTGTCCATGACTTCGCATCTTTTTTGAAAACGGGTCTGCAGGTGGACATCTGGGTATTCGTCTTCATGCCGTAGTTGGTATAAATATACAAGTCCGGAAAAGACGGTGACCTCACAGCACCCCTCCTCCTCCCCGCCCCCCAACCCACGTTGTCACACACACAGCAACAACAACAATGGCGGTAGCTGGGGTGATTTTGTTGTTGTTCCAGCAACTACAAATATTGCTACGACTTTTATACCAACATTTAGAACAGCAACAAGACAATGCGGGGCCATCCTCATGTGAGGAGGGCCTTAGAGAAATCACCTGCATCTCTGGATTCAATTTATCTGTGATTTTGAGCCCATGTGGTGAGTTCTACTACAGAGTCATATCTGTTTTTGTGCTTTTCAGAGCAGATTACAACAGTTTTTTCCACCTTGGTCTTTTTATGCAGAGGTTTCTCCAGATTCTTGGTATTTAAATAATATTTTGAGTTATAAACATTGAAATACCCAAATTCTTGAGATGTTCCTGCACAACTTTTTTCCCAAATGAGCAAAAGTTCTCATTTGGATATGTTGTCTTACTCTGTTTTTAATTAGAAGTAGGTTTGAGATGATTTGGAAACACCCTGTTTCTATCCGTATTTTACACAGCATCCCCATTTTTCGTGACTCTGAGTCGTATCCACTCTCTGAAGTTATCTTCTACTCAACAAAATGGTCCTTTTCAGTCTTAATGGAGCTTCCCTGTCTTCATATCATTTGCTTCGATAACTTCATGTCTTGCTTCATTACTTGGAGAAAAGAGCGGCATTTTCCTTTTTTCCCAGAAGTAGATAAAAAAGGTGTTTTAACCCCTAACCTGGGTGTGATTTAAAAGATGGTGAAGGAGAAACTGGGGAATTAAAACTTCAGAGGACATCACACTTCATGACACATCATGGACTTTTGACATTTCGGCCTCGACTCTCCTCCTCCTCCTCCTCTTCTTCCTTCTTCTCCCCCTCACTGAGCAGACTAATTAACTGGTCTCCCACTGCCTCCTCTTTCACTGAGAAGCTTTACACTTTGATAGACAGTCAGAGAAAAGGGAATTCTTCAGTGTTAGCCGCAAAAGGCTGTCAAATCATGAAACGAACACGCTTTTGTCATGTCAGACACTTCTACGTTTTAATTCCTCTTCCCTCCAGAATGCAAAGTTGTTTACAGAAAAATCTCAGCTGCTTATCCGACCACTTTCTAACAACAAAGCCGCGTTTATTGGTCCTTAGAGGGAGTGAAGACAGATGGATAACTTCCCAAACATTGAGCAATCTGAAGTACGGCAGCAATCGTTTCTCTCTTGACCTTTCTAAGCTCTTCTCCTCCATCTTTTCAGCTCCCGCAGTCAGGAGCAGAGAAACTATCATGTTAATTGGAAATGACGACAAAATGGTGAAGTGCATCCTCGAAAAACACCAATACAGGCACAAAGGGCAGGCGCATTATCCACACTATCTCTGTCTAATGATGTAGTCCCAGCTCCCCTTGTATTCCAGTATGACCTCCGCTTCGCTGGAAAACGGTTCCATTTCAGACTGTCTCTAATAATGCCTCGATAAGAGCTGCCAGGGCACCTTTTAAAACTTAAGGCTGTCTCGCTTATAATGATTTCATTCTTTTTCCAGGCACCATCTCTATAACCACCTTTCAAGTTTCAACCTAGAGGTTCAATAGACATGACACGACTTTTAGGAGACTTTCCTCCATCATTAGCTACTTTTTACCCCTTCTCCAAGTTCATCGCAGAGCTGAGAAAAATACTCAGCTCTGCCCTCCCCCGCTTTAAAGAGTGAAATTTCGAGACAAAAACAGTTTGAAGTTGAGTTTTTGCTGAACTTTCGGGCTAAATCCCACGGCTGTTAAGTGCCACTTTTTCATCCCCCACTTGTGTCCTTGTCCCTCTCGACAGAGATGCATGGAGAGATGCAGAGAAATGAAATGAAAGGAAGGGGAGGAGAGAAATAAAGGCGCTCTGTCCTCTGGTTAAGTGTTGGTTTTCTGTGATCATCATTGGAGCTGTCAGTCACTTTTAACAGCTGTTTTTGTCTCATTCCTGCCAACACTCCTCTTTTTCCGGGACTCTCCAGTATCTCAGACCACGCCCACCTCCCGTATTGTCATTTCTCCTGGGAATCTCCTGTAGTTTGATGGTCCACATTCATTCATGAATCCGATCACTATATTTGTCCAAAGTTTCCAGACAACCAAAGACTGTCCTGTGTTTCTGCTGAGCCTCACAGACACTGGATTGAAACTTTTACTTGACAATTTGGGATGATTCAGGTCGGTTTAAGCTGTAAAATATATTTGTTGCATATAGTGTTTGTTGCAAAATGAACACTTTGTTGATAGTCTTTCACCGTCTCGGAGTGATAAGTTCAGGGCAGCCTAAGATAAAAAAGTGCTGTATTGCAAGTACAGATGTTCAGCATGTAAAACATATGAGGACTTTAACACCAATATTAGTGGACTAAATAAGTTCAAGGCATATCATAGCTATTATTTTTCATCACCATTTTTTATTGTTAACACAAAACAGAAAAGTGTGCGGCTTCACTTAGACTGAGCAATTTAATTACAAATACTCTCATAATTAGCTCAGATCCTCCAGACAAGGTCACCCCACAAATATGATATTTTCTGTTAGTCTAATTTTCCCCTGGTTTTGTCATTTTGTGAGTTTATCCGCTTTGTTTGTTTCTGTGATCCTGTCTTGTGATTTTTCTGTTTGTGTTTAACCGTGTTTCCCTCCTGTTCTAAGCACTTTGTAAACTTCTGTTTTTAAAGGGGCTGTATAAATAAAGTTATTATTATTATTATTATTATTACTTAGTGTTTTATTCTTTTGATCAGTTTTCAGTGTTTACTGTTTTATTTTGTAGTAGTTGATTCCTTCTGTTTTAGTCTGGTTGTTCATTCCCTAGTTTTCCCTCCTTTGTTAATCACTAACGAGTTTCACCTGTGTCTCGTTAGCCTCACCTGTTGCTCGTTACCCAGAGTGTGTATATATACAGTCCCTGTCTGCCCTTGCTCTTGTTGGTTCATTGTGTGTGTGTTTGTCTGTTAGTATGTGTCAGTCTTAGTTGATGTGTGGATCCAATCCATTTTGAAGACAGTATTTGTTGTTTTTTTTCATTTAGTTCTTTTTAAATAAATCCTTTATTCTGCATTTGGGTCCTTTTCCTCTTGTTTAACCCCTAGACCGGGGTGGGCAATTATGTGCCATGGAGAGCCGAGAGGCTGCAGGTTTTCTTTCCAACCCGAAACTCCACCAGGTGATTTCACTGATTACCTTACCTCCAAGCAGAGAGCAGAGACTAATCAGTGAAATCACCTGGTGGAGTTTCGGGTTGGAAAGAAAACCTGCAGCCTCTCGGCTCTCCATGGCACATAATTGCCCACCCCTGCCCTAGACTGTGACAGTGGGAACCATTTCTACCAGCAAAATGCAGCATTATTCAGTCATTTATCATATTCAGTGTGTATCATATTGCTAACTTTTCTCAATATTCTTGAAATGGATTACTTTTATGATGTCTCAGGGACACTGGATACTATTTTGAATGTATAAATTGAGTCCTTCAGGGGGCTAAGAACACTGCCCTGGGGTGCTCCAGTTTTAAAAAGAAGGAAGTGATGTCTAAACCCTGGCTTTACACATGAGATCTGCAAAATGATCTTTATGCTAATTTGTTTTCTGTCCAAAGTCAAAATTTGAAGTGTTAAAAAAGGAAATTTGCTCGATTTAATCACAAGGACAGTTTCTAGCAGCCTCCTGCAACATGACGCTAAAAATCCAGACTCTGTGAAGCAGAAAGTCAACCAAAGTTTGGCCTCATGTGGACCTCCTTCCTCTGCTGTGACAGACACTTTTGCTGGTTTACATTACTGTATCCCAGCTCTCCCTAAAGATGCTGATATAGATTAAATAGCTCATTTAGAAAAGATGCTGATGGAGTTTACTGCTCTGAAAATGACAAAGCAGTAAAAGTTTTACAGAGGGAATTAAAACAGCATTTTTCAGAGTGAGTACTAAGAAGTAAAAAATCGAATTATATTGTCCCAAAGACAAAGTTTGTCCTGCTTATCATAGAAATGAATCTGAAATAACACAATCACAGAAAACGCACATCAGGACATATCTGCATATTTTAAACCAAAGCCAAGCACAGAAAATGAGATTCATTATCTCAGTCTGTTTATCTTTTACAAAGTCATTCCAGTTGGAGATATAGAGGCTTATCTCCAGATTATTATTATTGCATGGGCCGGCTTTACAGTGTTTCATTTTAGTGCTTCAGTCAGTGTGGACTCCCTCATTGCTTTCAAACAGCTGGAAGGCCTTTGTGCCGTAATGACACGGTACTCCTCTCCTCATAAAGATCAGATCAGGTGATTCCCTGATGAGCTGATGAAGCGCTTGTTATCAGAAATGCCTTACTAGCATTTTTTGTCCATTTGTAAGCACACTCCAGATTTTACAGTTCGCTCCACGCTATATTAGAGTAAAAATGGTGCAAAGAAAACATAAAACAAGCAAGTATTTTGCAGTTAAATTTACAGCTTGAATGATCTGCAAAACAATCAAAATCCCTTTTAGGTAAGAGTTTACAACTTTGCGTTTACCTCCAGAAGGTGTGACTCACCAGGTCTGCTCAGCTTGCTGGGTGGGCCAACTAAGCCGACACATGTGGCCAACAGTGCCGTTGCCCTTGGGGAAAGTCCTGAGGTTACTGAACACCGGGTAGGGCACCATGATTAGCAGCGAGACCATCCACGTGGCGGTGATGACGCGGTAGGCGTGCGATCTCGTCTGCCAAGACCGGGACTTCAGAGGGTTGCAGATAGCGCTGTATCTCTCGATGGCGATGGCCACGAGGCTGAAGGTGGAGATGCTGACGGAGATTCCTGCAGGACAGAGAAGAGACGTAGACTCAGGATGTGATTTCTTATAGTTCTGGCGTTATTAAAACATCTTTAAATCACAGAATTTATAATTAGCCAATAACTGTTTTGGTCATTCAGGATGGGAAAAGACGTAAGAGATAAAACCGAGCCAGAAATGCCAAGCAGAAACAGTCCTTCATCATTTGTATTATGTTTGTCGACAGACTCGGTTTCAAGCCAAATAGCCAATCAAACTGAAAACAGACATAAAAAATAACTACTTAATTCACTCCCGTTGCAGCGCCTGCTCATAAACCATCGATCAAGTGAAAAGAGGCCGCTCTGACGAGTGTCTGCAGACATTGTTTAGCTTTTTTAATCAGCCTCATATGCATTCACATCAACAACACCCATTACTTCAAAACGTCATCAATCGACCTGATTAATCTGCCCGACATATTAATTGTCCTATCCCAACAATTAAACTATACAGTAACACTAAAAGGCCATTAGAAAATTGCATATGTAAAAGCGCCCATGTGCCTTACAGAGGACAGTGTCTCTGTAGGGTTGGACACGGGTTAAATGCCTTCCTAGAAAATCCAATTTGCATGTATGAATATGCAAAACCTGCAGATGGGGGAGCTAGCTCAGTCCCTGCAAAGCCTGTGATCTAAGAGTGAGCCAGGTGAGACAAATAGCAGTAATAAATCCATACTTGTGTGATGCTAGCAGCTAAAGAAGCCTCACAGGGATTAATTCACCACATTGATCCCCTGTAGCTGCAATAACGAACATCTTGAACCCGGTGTTTCCCTGTCACATTAATCCCCATTCATTGTTCCTCCACATGTCTTGCGAAAACAGCTTTGCATTATCATTCATGGAGGGAAGTCATTATGCATTCGACTATTACCATGGTGCAAGTCAATCTACAGGAACCATACTGAGCGCTGGGCAGCTCTGCGGCTTTAACGAGAACAGTCTGTCCTCTCTGGAAACAGCCTTTGGTGGTGATGGCGTCCTCTGCAAGCCGGAGATACCATCTTTGTTCCTCTCTGTTGTGAAAAGCTTTGTAACAGATGAGGGATTGAGTGAAAACGATTAAGAGAGGAATTTCGAGGTTTGAAACTAGAAGAAAAGGAGGTTTGATATGGAGTAAGATAGGGGATCTTATTCCTGCGCCAACAGAACAAAGCAGCCGACTTGAAACAATACTCCACAACAAAAGCTCGTTCTTGTAGCAAAAAGATGTCTAACTGCTTCTCCCTCTTCTTGAGACATGAAAAAAAAAGCTTTGCATTATTACAACCATTACAACTCCTTGTGAAAAGGCTAATTCTTCTGATTGCTGCCAAACCAACATAAAAGCAGATGAGACGATTCATAAAGCTACAGACTGAGTGGAATGAGAGATGCTTAGATATCGAGGGACCAGTTCTACGGTCATCGGCACAGTCTTTCAATCTGATGGTTTAGCGCAGGGTCTATTACACGGCGAGGTTTGCAGGAGCATGAGGCAAACATACTACATGAGATTTAGGAGATTAATGCATACAATACTCTGAGTTTTATCTCAGTTTGCCAGCTGATTCATGACATTTATTGTACAGTAGCAGCCGTTTTTAACCCTTGACTAAACCACAAAGATTATACTTCTCTCGTATATCTTCATTCTACTAATAAAATTTAAGGATAAATCAAATTACAATTTCCATTTTGGCTTCCCACTACAGCAAAACAGACAATCACGACCGCACAATCACAGCCAAAAAAGTTTGGCAGGAAGAGGAAGTGTGGATAGCTGTATCTTCAGCATGAATACCTTTAAGGCCTAAAATAAATATGCTTATTTTGTCCCTTCTCCCATACCATAGTTGAGCTGCTGCAGTGTCTCCCTGTTTCCTACTGAAACCATAAAATAACCACCATGTTTCACTTTAAAAATCCTCTAAACATTCAAGTTAAGAGGGCAAAATTAATTAAAGCTACTATAAGGAGTTTTTTTTTGACATACACAAAATAGCCTAAAAATTATATCAACGGCATTTCCTGATATCCAAAAGCAAACGAGACCACTATGGGCAAGATTTACAATTTAAATATTGTAATTTTTTTATGCCTGGCTGTCAATGAAGCAGCTAAAGAAAAAGTCCACTTTTGTAATTACGACCACTGCCAGGTCTAGTCAGCAGGATGAGATTTTTGGTCAAAATACAGGAGCTTTAATTTAAACAAAATCTATTAAGATCATTCAAACTGATAAGCAAGAATGTGTTGCTAGGAAACAGGTCATAAACAAAACCGTAAAAAATTCAGAGAAGGGGTGAGCAAGGGAGTATTTCAGTGTAGCACCTGGTAAGATATCGCTAAATATTTCCATCTTAACACACTGAAGGTCAAAAATTAGAGCACTTTTGTTTTGTCCCTTTCAAGACACCATAGTTAACAGCTTGAACAGAGACTTTTAACCACAGAGCTATCTAAATTTATATATATAAAAGACTAGAAACGCCAGTGTGCTGTAGCAGCGCACTGTAGCAGCCTACTAAGTGACGTGCCTACGTGGCAGCCATCTTGGTGGGGGCAACGTTCCCATTAAAGGCACTAGGCGTACATGGACAATAAATAATTTTGTGCAGTTTACCCCTTGTTTGTTTTTGTTTTGTTTTTTAATCAAATGCTCCTGGCGTCGACGATAAAGTAAATCGCATGAAAATCAGTTGAGAAATGTGCATGATATTTATTTTCATTGCCCCCACTAGCTTACCCTCACGGTAGGCAGACATCTCAAAAGGGCATTTCGTATCTACTATTCCTATCTATGCTGTTAACAACATCACAGGACTTGGAACAGGATGAAAAGCCGTCCTCTAAATCTCAGACTGGAGCTGACATGATAACCTGATTGGCCGTGACCTCTGCACACTACCAATCAACCGAAATATCCACCAAAAAGCTGTGGTGAAGCAGAGGGAGGTGGGCGGTTGATACGAATAGCACACTCAGATCCTAGCAGTATTTCGACCAGCGTTTCAGGAGTCTAGCACAATAAGTTTTACACTCCCACACGTCTTTTTCAAGTTCTACGGCAGCGAGGATGACCGAATAACGTCCAGGAGGGGGTGTGATGCTTGAAGCCACAGCTCTGGCCTGGAATGATTGTGGGAACTAGAGAGTGAGGATTGTTTTTTTTTTTCCCTTCTTCTTCAAGGAGACAAAATACTCAGAAGAACAACAAACAGAGGAGCTGAAAAACCAAGAAAGGACATGTATTTAGTAAAAAAAAATGTAAAATGCTTCACAGGGCAAACAGAAACAGCAGGAATGAGGCAAAAACCAACCGTCTGCTGTGTGATTTTAGCTAAAATTAAGAGGTTAAAGCGTTGTTTTAAAAGGCCTCATCTGAGAAGGTGCCATGTATGACAGAAGGGTGTATTCTCGAGCTGGGAAAACAGACATTATAGAGTCATCTCCCCCAATGACCACGATGAAAGCCCCTGTAGGAGTCAGGGCTTATCTATGCCCCTCTAGCCAAATTGGAACCACCGTGCATACATATATATATGTGCATTTATCAGCGTGCACAAGATTGTGAATCTCAGGCTTCACTGGAGCTGCAGGTTTTTTACAGACTAACCCTGATAACAGTCAATCTGAGAGGAAGTGCGCTCCCAGGTGACGTGCAGCACTTACACTGCCGTGATTTAAATTGACGATAGAGTTGTACATACGTGGACGGCTTAAAGAGATTCAGAGTGGACTAATGTTCTTCTTCTCTAAAGCATAAGATTCATGTTTGCGGAGACTTGGCACAAATTTATCAGCCTACTTGTAATTCCAGTCCAGGTCTGCTTGACCATCTGTTCAATACCAGCAGGGGTAAACTCTGAGATCTTTTGAACTCTGTATTATTTTCTAGACGGGTTATTTTTTTCTTTTTTTGTTTGTTTTATGCAAGAGTTTTCGAGATAATAAACCCTCAACCACAACCTGAACCTGCATCCAATGCTACCAAATCTCTCGGTGATTATTCTTGCACTTTTATTCACCGGCTGCACCGATCCAAGCTTCAGTCCCTGACATTTTCTAGCATTGAGCGGCTCGGCTAATTACTGGTCAACAAACCAACTAAATGCCCACATCTCCCCTCTGTGCTTTACTCTCTCTTCTGGGGATTCAAAAAAATGAGCTCTAATCCTTTTTCTTGCTCATTACAGCCGAGTCGGGCGAACACCGCTTGATAACTGGCTTGTGAACAAAGCTGCGGAGTCTGAAATCGAAAGTATAGCAGCGTTGCCCAACCTGAGGGTGAGATTTTCATTCCTCTGCTGAATATGCTTGCTTGAGTCTTAGCTTACACCTAATTCTTTGAGTGTTCAGCTGAGTGTTGCCCTACAGGAGCGTAATGACATTTCAAAAGGAATACAAGCGTTGGAGATGCCAGATGCTCCTGAAGCCAGTTGCGCTCAAGTTTTGTCCAAGCGTCAAAACTTCACCTCAGGCTGATGGGTTGGACTGAAAAACTCAGCTGGTAGATGGTTCGTAATTGCATCATAGACCAGCCAATGAAAACAAACGTGGGTACATGAATTTGACTGAAGACACAAACACACATCCCAGAATATTACAGCATCGATCTCATTACTGTCGCTGAAAGAGTCCAGGGGCTGTGATTCATAGTTATCTGCTGGATGAATGAATGGAAATGGGGATAAATGGTGTATTATGTGTCTCATATGTAGAAGAGTTTGCTGAGGGAGTTTGACACGATCAATGGCTGAAGATAGACTCAATGATCCGCTGTATTGATCGGTCCAGGGTGATTGAGGGCCTCGCTCATGGGAAGCTCAAATCAGACACCCAGGGGAGGTTTGATTGATATTGTTTTTTATATGAAGATGCTTCATCAATATTCGTTGATTAGTTTTAAATTATATTTCGTGTTTAGTAGTCAAAGTCGTGGATTTACACAAGAACAATGATCATGAAGGCAGTACATGCTTTCTAACATGGTTGACTCAGTACAGCTGCAAGAGGACTTCTTTCATTTCCATTTTTGATCAATAAGTGTGTACTTTAGTGAGCCACCCTAGCATTTCAACTCCAGTCGAGTATATTTGCAGATCATTTACACATTTGCCTCTATTTTATTTTGTCTGTTTATCGCCCTGATCTACTATCGTTGACATAGTGTGCACTCGAGCAGGTCACCCACGCATGTTTACGCCCCCCCAATTTTTCTTTTATTTTATCTGTTTACGATCGTCATCTTTGATCAGTAATACTGCGTTCCAGTTGTACTCAGAAGTCAGAATTTCTAAGCTCCGAGTCGGAAATTCACTTGTAACGCCCCACTGGAGCCGACTTTGACACCACCAACCCCGACTTGACGACAACGTCATATTCCGAGCTGACAGCACAGTGCATCAACAGTAAAGACTAACAGTGAAAGCTCTCGTAATGTATTATTTATGAGCACTTCTGTTTTGTTTTTGTGAAATTAAATAAGTGGTATATGTTGTACTGCCCAATGTCTAACTGTGAACACGGTGCGATGGTGTTTGTAAGAGTAAAATACCGTGTTATGCATCGTTTACAACTGGTATAGCTAACAACAACTAACAACAATTGTAAACAACAGCTAACAACGGGTAACTGCAGGCGTCCATCTTGATTTTCCGACTTCTTAACTGGAACGCCGTCAACTCGGATGTAACATCATTCCCAGCTCCGACATCCAATTTCCGAGGTAACTTGAACGCAGCATAAGTGTGCACTAGAGCGGGTCGCCTAAGCGTGTCTACTCCAATAAAGTTTATTTGCTAATCATTCGCTCAATTTCTTCTTTTATTTGCATAACCAAGCATGTTCATGCATGTCCATGTATATTTGCTGACCATGTATACATGTTTACACGATTATTTAATCTTCTTGCTCAAACTTTTTTTGCCTTTTACCTCGGAAAAGGTGACAAGAAAATAAAACAGATGCAAATCACAGTTACATTAACTCAGTTTTGTCCTGCAGGACCACTGTAACAGCAGGTTTTCATGTCCAAATAACAGTTTTAAAGTTGATAGTCTGGATGCACCAATTCCCTTTTTTCACCTCCGATACGATACAGATATCTACAGTTTAGTATCGACCAATACCGATCTAATTCTGACACAGAAAAGCCGTAACCTGAGGTTTTACCACTGCCTCTGTGAACGTTTACTGCGCAGGTATTGCAAGTGACCGTTGAGCTTGTAGGCTAAGGTATTGTGATAAAGATAGCAGGGCCCTTTGCTCGCTCCATTTTAAAAACAATTTGGGCATCCGCTCAGCCTGTTTACTCATAGATACCACTCGCGTAGCATAGAGTTAGACAGAATAGATTGGCCTCTATGCATCGGGCTCATTGTCATGATACCCGATCTAGAATTTTCTTCAGTAGCAGAAAAAAAGGGAAGTCAACTTTCAAACCTCTCCATTGAGACGTACATCAGAGAAATTGTGCATCTTGTCCTACAAGCAACACGCTGGAAGTGCCCTCTAAAAGTTGCATCATTGGTGAAACCAGTCCAGCTGTGTCTTCAGCTGAAAGCAGCCGTGAATAAAGCCGCCCTTTTTAACACTTGGTGGGTCTTCTGGGAACATTTCTAATCCGCTTCCTGGCGCCTCACTTTAACCAGTGACTGGTTCATCTTGACAGGCTATTTGATGATGAAACAGATAGGGAAGCAATGTGCCCAGCCTTAGTATATACACAGGGGGCTGAATCTAAACAGTAATGCAAATTGAGGGCACTATAGGATCTGTTTGAGCAACTGCGACAAAGAGCATCAGTATACTGGAGCTTGCTTGAGGAGTAATTGGAAAGACGTGCCATGAGTATTTCAAGAGGAAAAACAAAAATCGACCTTTAAGGGATAATTCAGGTCTAGACACCTTTTATAAATTGGACTTTTCAGAGTAAAACAAAAAAGGCACTAAGCAAAGAAAAAGTGAAGCAAACTAGAGAGCGGGAAGAAAAACCATCCAAAGAAAAGCCAAATAAGGGAGAGTCTTCAAAGAGTGTTCAGCTCTCATTGTTTTGTTTTCAGATAATGACACAGCCCATGGTCCATGCAATATGTTTACTTATCAAAATACACTGCATGAGCTGCTCAAATAGACTGAGCTCAAATAATAAACCCTGAACACACTACTGTGTCCACCAGGTCATATCAGGCGTTTCGATGCAAAACTGGGATGCAGAAACTGAGTGTACTTGTGAATTATAGACTCCCGCTGCATGTAGAGGAGCGTGTCTGTGTGTTGTGTCTGCAAATACAGCGAAAACAAAAGGGCCTCTGGATGATGGTGGCAAAGTAAAGTGCTGAAAAATTACCCAGTAGAGCGTGTACCGGGATGAGCACCTGGGTCAGAGTCTTTCCAAATTAGCTAAATCACATGCCAGAGTTGGCGTAGCGTCCTTCCCTCTACCAGGGGTTTCTCATTAAAGGGGTAGTGCTGAATGGCATCCACTGAAGACATGTGACTCATACAAACCCACTTAAAAAAAACAGTGTTTGCACAAATCATTCAGTAACGTCAGTTTTGCATAAAAGACACGTTTTAATAAACTAAATTAAAATGCATTTTTTAATCTCTTGTTTAGGGGAAATAAACGGTGCAATTTTAGTTAGCGTATGCAAAATCAGGCATGTACAGTGGAGGACATCCTTTTTGAATTCCCCACTTGAATAAAAAGCCGGCTGATTCATCGCTTCACCTCGTGGATAAACTACTCGGCTGTCCCCGCCTTTACTGGAATGAGAGGACACACACAAAGCTTCAAACTAAGCTTATAAAACAGTTTATCTTTGTATTTTTAGTCGGAGGTATCCAGTCCTGTTGCCCTCCTGCCTCTTATCACAGCTCAGAAAGCTCAGTAATTGAAAAGGTGATTCAGCCTTGCCTGTTCTCACACACGGTGCATGGCGTTTCTCAGACAATAATAGGATTGTGGACCTCGCCATTCAACAGCTCTCCTCAACCATTCAAAGCTCAAAGAGGAGCGAGGAGACGCAAGCACGCAACTGCGGCGGATCTCGGATTCTCTTCCGTTCTCTTGTGCTCGGGTCTGACTCACAAGGCCTCACAGGACACCTTGAGTCTGGCCTGATGGGAGCCAGCTCATCACTAAGTCACACTCCTGGAGATGTGTGAGTGTTCGAGCACTTTCAGCATGATGGGCAGAATCGAGGCCAAAGTGAGGCGGTCTACTAAAATATGAAGCGATTGAAGGGGGAGATTTTGAACTCCTGATCAGACACAGAAAAGGCCAGATCCCTAAAATTTTAGCTTTTAAGCCAGTCCCTGAATGAACCCTTTAAATTTCCTTTTTATTCCTATCAGCTCTTGCTAGTATAACTGATTGGTTTTCACTGGTTATAGACTTTTTCATGTATCACTCGTGAAATATAGTTTCTAACATAAATGTGACGGAGAAACAGCAAACAGGTTTCTTAAGAGTCACTCTGAAAATGCTGACTCACTTTCATCACCGCCTTAAACCACTGTTTATTGGATTGGCTGAGCATTTAGTTAAAGTCAGTCGCACAAGCAACCTCCATACAGAGTCTAAACATATTGTAAAGCAGCAGCAAAGTACCACAATGGACTTAAGTTAATGTTTTATTACTCAGTTTTAAATCTAGTCAGATAAAGAGTGACTAAAAGTATCGAGGGGTCTGGTAGCTTCAAAGAGACATAAAGTGTAATAAATAAGACAGCACCATACTCTCAGGAATTACTTTGCCACCCGGGGAGATTTAAAGCTTCATCAATCCACAGCCCAGCTCTAAAGCCAAAAATGTCTTCACCACTTTAATACAACCCCAGTCCAAAAAGATCAGGAGAGTGTGGAGTAGGTTGATAAAAACAGAATTAGATAGTTTTAACCCAAAGCTTGAAGTCAGCATGAGCAGTGAGAGACTGTGTGAGCAAACAGTTCAACAGTTTTAGAAGGTCATCTGCATAAAATTGTTGAAAACAAACACTTGGTGGTCATGTTCTGTTAGACCCTCAGTCAGCAGTGCATCAAATCAGGCATGACTCTGTAGTGGAAATCACTGCATTGGCTACAAATTACCCCCTAAAGGTCCTTGCACACCGGGACCGACGCAAATATACGACGCGAAATTACGAAATATTCAGAGGCGAATTTTGACGCGCAACCTCCATAGTCGTAAAATCAAGCACGGCGCGATTTTACGACTTTCTGAGGGGAAAAAAAGACGCGTCCTGGGTGGAAGCGAGAAGACTGACACAACAGCAGACTGACTGTTTTTCAGTTCTGATTAGACACTAGTGTTGAGATGTCTGTCTGTCATGATAGCATGTACTGAGTCAGGGCCAGTACCAGATAAACACATTAAACTATAATCCATAAACGTAAGGTAACAACAGAGACCTAATGGTGCTGTGACAGCAAGGCCATTGAGTTTGAGACAGTGAAAATACATATGGTATGTTGTATCTGAACAGGTTAGCTTACAAGCTAAAGTTACTTAGCACAGATGAAAGTTAAAACAAAGACGTTTAGCAAACTGTTAAAGCACACAAACCATCGTCATATGAGAAAACCGACACTATGACTCTCCACAAATTGTCCTTCAGGTCGTTATCTTTGTAATGTTTGTGTTTCTTTCTCAAAAAGCACTCTGTTCTCCGACACGTAAACAATCAGCCGGTCGGCCATGTTGGATATACCAGTGAATCTGACATTGCAACAACACGAAATCTCATTGGTCAGACGTGGACACTCAGTATGCAAAAATTTAGAAAAATCGACCGTGATACGAAAAAATAAATGCTGCAATATTGCAGGACAGGAAAAATGTCGCTGATGTGAACACTTGTATTGACAGGATACAGGTTCAAAAAAAATATTGACGTCTGAAATAATCGACCATATCTGAAAATATAAAATGAAACTACATGAAAGGTCTTTTTTTTGACGATGCCAAACTACAGATGCTGGGTTGGTTCAGCTCAGCCTAAACCTGTAGTAGAAAAACATACCCATGAAGTAAGTGACGGTCTTGCACATGGTTTCTCCAAAGATGAAGTCCTCCAGGATGTTAGGGATGAGCGTGAAGGGCATGCAGAAGATGGCCATCATGAGGTCGCTGACCGCCAGCGACAACAGGAAGGAGTTGGTGACCGTTCGCATCCGCTTGTTCAGCATCAGGACCACGATGATGAGCAGGTTGCCGAAGACGCTCAGGAGGAAAATGAGCGTGTAGAGGAGGATGCGGAAAGAGTCCATTTCTGAAAAAGAAACAAAGAGATGACAGAGTTAACGGGATTTTGTTTTTGCATTAAATTGAGCTCATTATTTAAACTGAAGTAACCATTTCAAAAGCAAATTAACACAGTGAAAAAATGTCTCCTATCCCATAAATAAATACAATTTTTCATCTAAACTTTTTCTGGTATTCAAAAGCAGCAACAGAGTGTTTCATTTTAATGGGAACAGCAATAAACAAAAGAGGAGAGACAGAACAATCATATCCAGACAATAATGAGCAAAAGTTGTTACACTTCTTCATCGTTATGCACCAACTCAGTGAACTCCTAAAATTACACAAAACATCAAGAACAAAATGAGACAGCATTGGGTGAAAAGTGAAAGTAAACCAAACAACACCGATAAATTTAATGAACAAACTGAATCAGCTTGTTCACCTGGGAAATAAGACTCAGCGCACATATAAAAGTGACAGCAAAGTCAATTATGAGACAGAGTAACTCCGTGTTATCAACATCTTAAATTAAGCCAGTGTCAATATTTTTCTTTCTCACCCTGTGAGCCAAGTGATAATTGAAATGATAATATTGACAAAGGAGGACAAAGAAAAACAACATCATCAGAGATGAGCAGACGTGCCAGAAGGTGATGTGGGAATAAATTTCAAACTGGACAAACAAGGTGGAAATTAAACAGTGAGGATTCGCATCGATGTCATGACGTGTGTCCAGTCTGTCTCTCTTGGCCTCTAATCAAACACTTCAAAAAAGCAAAGAAATAAGGGTGGAGTCAGGGGTAACCCCATCTGGGATCTGAGTGGACTTTCCTGATGTCAAAGATTAGGGTAGAGGCACACTGCACGAGCAGAGCACAGCTGGAAAACTCCCCGTGATTTAGGTACTGCTATGTTTTGCTTCCTTGTGTAAAGCACTCTGGGATACTAGAGGATGCTAACTAGGCTGGGGGCTTTTAAAGGCATGGTTGACGATTGGAGAGAGTGGTAATTATTATGAACCTCGTTTATATTGCGATCATGGTCCTATAGTGCGAGCGCCACAAAGTGAAGAGAAAAAAGAATGGAAAAAAATCCGTTCACCATAGCAGGTGCAGGGCTGCAAAAATATTGACCAATGGGAGCCATCCATCCAGGACAGCTCCTATTGGTCAATCTCCTGCTCCACCTCTCCATCCAATCACCTTGCTGTATTCGACACACCCCTCTCTCGTAGTTCCGGCTCGTCCCCTCCCCCTCTCCTGGCCCTTTTTGGAGCTCTGAGCGGCTAAAAGTAGCGTAGCAGCTTCGCTACAGGAGCTGTGATGAAGAAGGACGCAAAAAAAACACTTCTGCTTTCCCCACGCAAGAAAAAAACGCAAGCCGACAGAAGAAAGGGCAGAGTTGAAGAGGACATGTGACCAAGCAAGGAATCTAACTTGAATAAACTTCGGGTCATAGAGAAAGCTCTGCCAGGATTTGTGCCTGAAAACAGACGCAGAGACAGCAGAGTTTTTGTTGAACAGGTAATTTTTTACCCTTTATCGTGGCAAATGTTACATAAATAATTCTTATTAGTCTCTGCAACGTCAACACAGTAGCTGTCCAGGCAGCTGCAGACGGTGCTCGCTAGCAGAGCTGGCGTTTACTGCCTAGCTGAATCCTATTCGAAGCTAGGGTAGGATCTTCTGCCGGCCGACTTTTTTTTTAAAACTGCTTCTCAGATCGTCAACCATGCCTTTAATTTACCCCATCATGCATTTAAAGACTAGTGATGTTTGTATGATCACGTACAATCACCGGCGTAGTCCTCAAAAATTAGGGACATAATTTTCTTAGTATTGCACATCCCCAAATCTCCATCCTCCTAAAGTCAGTCTCTCAGCACTGACATACAGCTGAGCATCAGCAAGAACGGGACGGTCCGGCTAGAGGCTTTTTGGGCTGCTCTCTTCACTCACACCGGCCTGTCACAGTGAATCTGTTTGATTATGCGAGGATGAAACAGGACAAGGTCAGGGCGGGCCGTGTGCTGCACAGACTGAGTCCTCAGATTGAAGATAGGGACGTGGGACGGGCCCACGGTAGAGCCTGGATCACCTTGAAGGCATGCACACACATACACCCCCCTTAGGAGGAGTTAGACCAGGACAGTATCATCAGCGTAGGTAAACGTCTTAAACAAGGCTGGTTTTGGCAAGAGTGCTTCAATAACTCTCTGGTTTAATATGTTGCTTTGCAGGGGGGCAGTCTGTAGTAGTTTCTGCATGTTAGTCATTGCGCATTATTAAAAAAAAATCCCAGCATGCCATTGGTGAATGAGTGTTTTCTTTACAGAATAATTCTACTCCATAATTAGTTGTCAGAAATGCAAATGTGGTAATTAACAGCTCGACGCGTTTGTGCTCTGTCGCCTCTATTTGTTTGCAATGCTGCTTATACTGAAAAGTAAAATTAATAATACACATAATTACAATGTTTTGCTGCTTTTCTCTGCCCTGATGGGTTTGGGAATAAACCGAGTGTGCAAATGTGGTCACTGCAGCTGAAATCTAAACATCTGAGAGTGTCTGGTGATTTAAGGACATCCTGCTGTTGGAGCGCACATTAAAATCAGCCAGGCGGCTATCACTGGCAAATCAACAAAATGTTAAATAACAATAAAAACAGCCTGGATGATTAATCCTATTTGCAAAATGCTTTTCTAGAACAAAGTACAAGTTGCACCATGCACAGAGGATATAGTCCTCAATGGGTCCAAATTCAACCTGTGGTTCTTTGCTGTATGACATCCCCTATTCTCTCTACCAGTTTCCTGCTCTAGCTACTGTCTCATCCTCGAAATAAGACATGACTCTGTGGTGGATATCACTGCAAAGGTTTGAAATCAATCTATCCAAAAATACAGAGATGGTCTAACAAATAAATTCAACGTCCTTTTAAGAAATCTTGAACTTTGTGTCCGCTATAGTCTCAAGACTGCATGGCTTGTTCTCACTAGTCCACATTCTCCATGATGGAAAGGGGATACTGACACCAGTGTTGCCAACCAGATTTGGTGACTTTTTGGACCCCCCTAGCGATTTATTTTCAAAAAAGCGCCTAGCGTCCATTCTGGCCACTTTTTCTGGAGTTTAGAGACCCTAACATGAACGCAGGTATCGATGTTACTCTTCTCAACGGGTAGCCGGTGTGCATCAAAAATACAGACACATATAGACACCCTACGGATGACTCCCCCACCCCCACCTCCTCCCAGGGTAGGGGTGGGGGGGTCGGCAGTGGGTTTGACTGAGAAATTATGTAAATTAGGCGATGACATCATCTAGTGACTTCTAGCGACTTTTACGACAGCCACGATGCTACAGGACATGTCATGAGAAAAAGACGTGCGAAATTGCATTTTTGAGTATTCGGGTCTCTGGCAGACCCAAACGGCAGGATCAGATACAGTGAGATTTCCTACGTAACAAATCAAAGCTCTGCCCCTGGAGCCCCGCTACACAGGCCAGGCTCGGAGAAATAAAGTACGATCGCGGAACAAGCGTGTGCGTTGGCGGATAGCAATGCTCGTAAGAAAGCTAATTATGATATTAACTTTCATCATGTCTCCAAAGACAATAGTGTCCGAGATCTTCTTTCTTCTACTACACCAGCAATGTTAGGCTGCAAGCTAACTCGAAGAGAAGTGTGCAGAGCAGCGCTGACTCCGCCCACGACTCAGAGGCGAATTGCTAATGAGCTACTGGAGCTCTGCAGAAGAAAAACCCTTAAAAATTGACACAGGTAACGTGATTTTGGCAAAAAAAAAAACTTCATAATCACAGTTTAAAGACCACTGAGAACACTTTAAGTAGTAAAAAAATCGGAGCATTCACACCACCCTCGTCAAGTCCGGTTGAACCAAACCCTGGAGCGTTTACCCCCTTGGTGCGGTTCGTTTGGGTCGGTGTGAACGCTGACATCGAACTCCAAATAAACAAACTCTGGTCCGCCTGAAAGAGGTGGTCTCGGACCGCTATCAAGTCTCTGGAGCGGTTCATTTCTGGTGTGAACGTCATCCACACCGATCACAGGAAACGCACCACACAAGTCATTAATGCCTGTTGCCGTCTCGTCTTCATCCGTCTGTTGTTTGCAGCACGTCTACTCTGGAATGCCGCAGTTCGCCCTCGCTGGCTAGCGAGCCGTTCATACGCGCGATCGACTAGCGTCTTTTGATATGCGTTCCAGATGAGTAGCAAAAGCAAAATCAGCCTATGATGCTCCATGACAGGCGAAGACAGCAGAGCGGGGTTTGTATTCCCGCATAAACTGATGACCAATAACTGAACAATATTCGTGGTCACGTGACTTCCGGTTCCCTTTTCTGGAGCGATTGAGTTTGTCCTTTATGAACGCAAACTGGACCAGTTAAACAATCAAAACAAATGTATCGTCTTGCCTTGGATTGGGGAATTCAGGAAACTGTCTTTAGGTGTGAACACGACCTTGGTGTGAACTGTGGACTCTGCGGGTTGATGTTAAACGCCAACTCTTTGTTCCTCAAAACTGACGTCACAGTCGACGTGATGAAGCCAAATTATCCACAAAAGACTTAAACATATGCAGCAGATCTGATGAGACGACCTGCAGCAGCATCACTGAACATATGCACACATCAGCACAAACTCACACACTTCCTGCACATGCACAAAGCGGGCCCAGCGGCTCCCATTGTGTTGGATTTTAGCGCGATGCAGCCGAGTGAAAATGGAATTATCTATTCACTGAGCGGCAGAGGTATGTTTGCTCCCCTGAGCTACTGCAGGACAATTCACTTTGGCTCCTTTGACTCCCTCAAGCGTGACAGCTGAGTTCAAAATCGACGAGTATCTATAAATACATCACAGGTAAGAGAGCGGCGGCGTTCACCTCTGAGGCGCTCACATGCAGTCGGGGGTTGTTGATGTGTAACGTTTTAAGTCCTGACCCTGAATTTAGAGAAGGAAACTGCAGCATTGACTGATTATTTAACCTCCATTTGCTCTTTTTGTAACTTTTCGTAATGGGAAAGCTTTATCAACTATCAGGCAACTTTAACAGGAGCTGAATATTATCTGGCTCTATGATTTATTCTCTATTAAAGTTGTTAATGAGCAGAAACCATCTCAGAGGTGATTGAGCCGCAAAAGTAGGAGCCAAAGTTGAGAAAAATCCTCGCTATGGAGCTGTATTTGATGATGAAACGCTCCAATTTGACATAAATATCCCTCATTATAAGCGAGCCGGGAGATTTTTTGGAATAAAACCGTGAAGCAGCAAACATAAGTCAGGAAATGAGTCCTGATCTTGTGGGAGTTGGAGACTGATTCCCTTCTTTGAAGCGAAGTCCAAGACAGAGCCGGTGCCATCTTTTCAGTCTGCATCAAAAATAAAGAAAAGAAACACAAAATTTGCAATGTGTCAAGAAAGGCGGTGATTCTGGCTTGATTCTGTTTGGCAGCTCCAATTTGATAGAAAACTGTTTAATTCAATCACATTTCCCAAAGTGCAACTCCGTGCAGCATTTCCATTTGTTCCTCAAAAGCAATAACATCCTGGATTTCCATTTACAGCCCATTACAAAGACCAGAACGCATGAGATTTGTTTCTGCAAAACCATATCATCCAACATCTGATCTGATGATACCCCTGTCTTGAGTAAACACCATCAATCTTTGAAACCTGTCATGAAAATTAAACACTTGCCTGCACCCTTTTGCTGTAATTTACCTTCTATGGTGTTAATCAGCATGAAAAACAGTCTGGATTCACGCTGTATGTGAAACTGATTCTCTCTTATCAAATGGTCTTTCCAAGCACAAGAACCTGGAGGTTATTACACATAAATATTTGCTCCTTGTCCCCATTACTGGCGGTATTTTCATCCTCGACTTGTAAACACTTCAAATTGTGGATAAACCATCACAGACGTGCCTCCTATGACTGTGTCTTCATCGTGAGCTGCTGCTTTGAAGCCCTGAGGTGCGTCCACATTGCCAATAAAAGACTATTTCACATCTCAGAGCTCTTAATAGCTCCGGCTTTAGTCCTGATTATTCTTTTGCTGGTTGAAGCAGCAAATCAGATGCAGCCTGTTTTTTTTTTTTTAATTGCACCGCCAACCCTGGAGAATTAACAGCGTTTTGTCTTCCCTAACAGATTCAATCAAATGATAAAGACCGGGGCAGCTTGTTTGCAGGAAAGGACTGATTTCACCTCGTGTCAGATATGTGGATCCAATGCTAGACCTGCGGGGGTTTGTCGTCTTGGCGTTGTATGATTTCAGTGAGGAAGCAAAACACTCTTACAGTCAGCACAATTTCCAACATGCACCCCCATGAGACGCGAATATTGATCTCACGTGACTTGGGAATTTGTTTGGAGAGACTTTGTCTGTACTCTAGCACTAAGCTCAGCGCATATTCGATTACCCACAAGACCCTGACAAATTCGTTAGCTACTGATTCTATTTCCTCCCCCTCTCTCTCCCTCATTAAGGAGCTGCTTTGATACAAGGGTCTAAATTGCAGCCAGCACTCCCTAAACAGGATAGGGAACCAGCAAGAGAGCTAGTTAGGGTACCTTCTGGATGTTGTTTATAATTAGCCTTTAAACAAAATCGACAGCAGCATGTTGTGTTATGGTAGCACTAGCTAGCATCGGTACCTGTGATTATAGCATTGGCAACAGCAGTCTTATAGGTGGGGTAGACAGGAATCTGTCTCTGAATAACGTTCACGAGCCCAAACAAAGTTAGCGTGTTACAATATTGGACAGTAGAAACCAACCAGAAAGTAACGAAAATTGTCTGAATCCTCCTTTAGCCACGACTGCTGACACAAGCAATAAAACAAAGTAAATACCGGAGACTCTCGCGGAATAACGGGCGCCGAAAAAGGAGGTAGACCGGACAAGAGCTAAAAAGCCAGGTCAACATAAAACGATAGGAGACGCTTCAGGATCTTTTGGACCCTGTAACCTTGCTGCTGGACAGGTAAACCGCTTTAACAAAGTAAGCCAAGTGTAACAGAAGTGTTTCTTGTCAAATGGGACCTGCTGAGAGGTGCAGCGCCGCTTAACTGTTGACCTCGGGTCCTGGAGTATTTGTTTCTAGTTGTAGAAGTCCTGCAAACATTGTGTTTTCTGGTAGTCTGTTGGCTTCTACAGTAGCACCGATGCTTTTTACTTTCACGTTGACTGGGCCCCATTTGTAATTATCTGAAATATTTATCTGCATTATATCTGAATTTAAGTTTGTGGGCGGGGCTTGCTGGAACGGAGAGGGAGGGGAGAGGAGGAGCTGAAGGGAAAACTGGTTGGGAGGGGAAGTGTTTACATTCAAGATTTCTGTGGCACTTCCTCGGATCCTGCCTACTCCACCTTTAAGGTAGCGTAACCAAGATAAAAGAAGGGGAAATCAAATATTTATATTACCTATATCCTCTAGATTCACAGTTGACCAGAAACCTTTGCTTTTTTCATTTTATCCTATTAAATATAAACAAAATTGTCTCATTTAGCATCGTAGCATATCTGATTGTTTTGTACAATTTAATCAAATGGTCTCCCCACTCATGCCAACATGAACTCATGATCCACATTCAGTCCACTCAAATGAAAATTTGTGAAGATTGTAGGCAGTATGGTACAATAAGCTTGATTACAGATAGCTCATGTACAGAAGGTGTGAGCCCGTTTCTATTTTAAGTAAAGCACTTGGCAGACAAAAGAGAGTAACTGCACTGCAGCATCTCCTACGGGTGACAAATTCAGTAAATCTCTCTTCATTCTGGTGTCTCTGCAAACACAGCGACAAGAAGCCAGGTCCCTGCCAAGTCTCAACCAGTGAGCTGCAGGCAGAACTGTAAATCTCATTCCCACACTGTCCTGGTTCCTAAAGAAGTGTGGACAAAATTTGATTTGGTAATGTGTTTAAAGAGGTTTCAGAGGCAAACTGTGACCAAGCATGGAGTGTATGGTACATTTAGCAGTGATGGGATTTTCTTCCCTGACCAAAAACTGTTTTTTAAGTTTTGGATTCTGTCCCGGTAATCCGCTGTATGAGTAAAGTCAGGATTTTTTATGTTTGTGGCCAATACAGGCATGGGTATCTCTTAGCTGACCAATGAAAAAGGTTTTGAGACATGAGACAAGGCAATAAAAATGTCAAAATAATGATAAAAAGTGATTCTTACACAAGCTAAGTGACCACTACTGTACCACAAATCATGTCCCAAGAGGTGACAGATGAAAGCAGGAGACTGTGCCTGCACACAAGACCAGTTTCCCCATCAGTTTGGTGGGCAGGTGAACCTTGTGTAGAGATTCTGATCATAGACTGTATATACAATGGACAACTTGGTTCCGCCTTCTGCCAGTATATGGATTTGAAGCCAAAAAGCTTTCGGAAATTCTGCGTTTTTTCTCCACCTCCTGAAACCAACATTGCGCAGTAGCGTTGTACCCAGTTGGCAGGTGAGTCGAGGTCGAGAGTCGAGAGCCGAGAGTCGAGGCTCAAACAGTGTATCCCCCGGGTGAGCTACGCAATCTTCGTACGTTCATAGGCTGTATCAGGTGTCAATCATAGAAAACATGAACCCCCTAATAACTTTTAATAACAGAGCTGTACAGAAAAAAAGAGGACTTGAGCACAAACCAGTCTTACAATAACTACATGTCAACGCCGCAACAAGGGGGGAAAAAAAAATAATGTCCTGTGTAATTAATGTCTTAAGTTTGTTCACAGCTCCATAGGGATTGCTGGAGGAGGCGGGATTTATGACCTATACTGCAGCCCGTCACCAGAGGGTGCTGTTCTTGGAGTGGCTTCACCCAGCGAGGAGGCAGACAGCGTCCATTCTATAAACGGTTTATGGTTTTGATGCTTTGAGTATCATGACAATTGAAGTAAAGGCAAAACACTTGAACACTTGCTCTCTTTCTGATCAGATATACGCTACTCTTGCGCTCATGCAAGGGGTGCAGAGCGCGTGCTAATAAATAGCTAATCATACACGCAGAAGAAGAAATGCAAAAATTGGCGTTGAATACACAAAAGTACCTAAGCGGCCTGCATAAGTATTGCTTATGTAAGGGAAATTCTGTCGTGAGTGCACAGCGTCTTTATGAGTTTTGATGTTTCAGAAATGTAGAACATGTTATCATCATCATCATCACTGAGCATCCTTTCACACTGGAGAAAAAACGGAAGCCTACCGCACAACCTCGTGACGTCACTTCGCCTCATCTCGAAGCTTCCAGCCAAAGCTAATCTATAAATTCAGCGCCCATAAGACCTTTCTACTATAAGTGTAGCCAAGATACTCTATAAATACCTGCCACTAAGTGTTGGACTCTCTCTTGTTATTATTGACTGAATGAGACTCCCCTTGTTTGTTTCAGTATAGCCTCCCTGTTCTACTTCTACCAGCAGCACAACAAATCTATGAGAAGGGCTGCTCCTCAAGGAAATCCCTTATCTCATCAAACATTCAGCGAAGGTGTTCGCCTCTTGATTCCCATAAATCAATGTGTAAAGAAGCTAACGCCGAGGTAGCGACGCTAACAAAAGGGACACAAAGTAGTGCAAGTAATTTCTTTTTTTTTTTAACTCTTAAGTAAAAAGTGCAGTTTGTACATTTCAGGATGGTTGAATGTCCTCCTCTTGTATGGTCACACTGGGGTTTAAACGGCTTAAAGACCCTGTGTTGTACCAGGCTAGGGCGTCACATGACTGAGGATTAACTGAGAGTGAAATGGGTCCCTGGTCGTATGCATCCAGTCAAAGTGATAGAGACCCCCCTCATAAAGATGCAGCATCGCCTCCCTCCATTCTCAGTAGCCTGTTAATAAAGCTGCTGTGCACACAGAGGACATTACGGCTCAATACAGCTATTGCATGGTTGAGAGAGTGCTGCAGATGTTTAGGGGATCTTAATGTGTGTGGTCACACTCAACTGCACCACAATACACCTTCATGGACATCATAAATGTTCTCTTCTTTCATGGAGTGATCTGATGGTATAATAGAGATTCAAAACACCACAATATCACATTGATTCTTACTGTCCAATGTGTGCAAACTTAACGATTTTAAAGATTCAGTACGTTCATCATACACAAGAGGCTGCAGCTCATTATAATGAAGAAGAAGAAAAAGATGAAGGATGCTCTGAATACTTTGCACACTCAGTCCTTGCGTGTTTGTGCCGCTGGATCCGGCTCACCGGGTCGCTTCAAATGTTTCCAATCATTTGATCTGATTAGCATGATCATGTTATGACAACCTGTACATACCCAAAGGGGAATGAGATGCTAATCCCTTAAGCAAGACGCCCTGCTGTAGAGATCAGTTGAATATAGAAGCTCCTGAGAAGCACCCCCCTGCAGAGTCGAGCCTTTTTTTCATCCTCCCTACAGTGCGGGGCGACCGGTTGGTTTCAAAGCAGCGTTCATTTAATACTTATGAGATCCACTTCATGATTACTTATCTCACACAGACTCAAAAAGGACGCAGTGAGCTCAGCAAAGTGTCACTTTGAATCAGCAGGGAGCAGCGGGTGGCCGGAGCCCAGCCAAGGTGCAGCTACAGATGTTGTTCTGCTTAAGCAGGGCCCCCTGTCTGACGTGAACTGCTCTCCAGAGTCCTGAGAGATTACTGTAATGTGATGCATGTCAGATGTTGTGTTGTTTCCCTGCTGAAGGAGTTTCACAGCTGCTCTTTCAATTGTGGCAGGAAAAAAAACAGCAGATAGCAGATGGAGGGAAACAATCTGGGTCTCTAAAATTAACATGTAAATAAAGAGGCGACGGGATGTGAATAGAGCATCAAAAACAATTTCCTTCAACATTTTGAGAAACTGAAACCATTAAATGTTCGCTAAAGCAGACACAATAAAGCAGCCATGTACAGTAAAACCCAAACAACCAGCAGTGGATTTTTAAAGATATTATTCCCTCTTCGTTTTCACAGAGAGGGGAATTAAAAATGAATGAGTTTGATACGCCTAGGTTTTCCCATAAACATCCAGTTAAACCAGTACAAAGCAGGCCTCGACACACTGGCAACCCATAAACTTAAACAATAATTGCCATGTGCATAAAGGTCAGTGTGTAATATAACTTTTGTTTAAGCCATCAACACGGAAATGATTATGAGAGGTTTCCAAAACCTCTAAAACTCTGTTTACAGGAGGTCAAAACATGAAGAAAAAAACTATGTTTGATAAGAAATCTGATCCTTGTCTGTGCATCGCTGCCCTTTAAGGATCAATTGATGGTCTTCCTGTTTCCCAGTAACCTGTAAACACTCCTATTCACTCGCACAGTGTCATTATTCTATACTTTCTTTTTCATGGCACCAAACAGATCTTGCATAACTCTTTGGAGATGCATATGTGCCTCTGCATATCCTGCCAAACTGGCACCATGCTTGCTGAACTTCAGCCAAAATGTCTTTATATTGTTTTTCAATTACCTTTAAATGGACCTATACTATCATTATTCTATAGTTTCTTGTTCAAGCCCCTGGCCAAACCCTCCCACAGCTCCCTGGAGTAAAACTCCTCACAGTTCATACAGGATCTATACAAACAGGTGAGGGGAAAGAAAAACAATTGAGGTGGGAGGAGCACAGTGTCATGTGAAATATAATCTCAGGTCCATCAGATAGATCTTAGGGAACAAAAAGGGTTGAACTTGAAGTCATGTAATGAAATCCTTGTTGCCTTTTTAAATACGACCCTTTAAAGAGGGGCAATCACTTGAAAAACTGCAAACTGATCCTCTTGTTGTGTATTTCATTTGGAATTTTCTTTTCTTACAGTGTTTCATAACTAACCTGGCTGAACTTCTTCCATAAAAGTCAAGCTTCTCAAATCTGGCATTCTGAACAATATTTTGTCAGACTCTTGGTTGGACACGACAAGTACTATGAAGTTGCACCATAAAGCGCTGAGACTGTGGCCACTTTTCATTGTTTTCAGACATTACAGACTGAAAGAGTGATTGACAGATCAATAATAGAAAGTAAACGGTTTCTTTTATTCAAGTTCTACACACAGGAAATGCATAAGAAGAAAATAAAACTTTCATAACGGATTTCAATCAGACCTTCATTTCTCGCTCCCTTATTTCTCCTCTGCGCTCTTCAAATATAGAAATATGCACACAGCTGCATCCTGCTTTTTCCTGCAAGTTTAAATCCATGTGGTTTGCAGTTAGTAGCTGGAACAAAGAGTGAATGATCTAAAGGAAAATAATCTGCATTTACTCATATAAAAATCATGATTCTGCACAATGTTTCTAAATTTTTCAGCTTGTCAGTGCATGAGATCGCTACAGCCTCTCTTTTTCCGTCCCTTGGCTTTTCAGACACACTCCTGCTCCTCTCCCTGCTCTCCTCTCTCCACCTGTTGCTGCCTGATAGTTTGTACCACTGTTGTAGATTTCTCTTAGCCGGAGTTACAACTTCCTCATGCTCCCATAGTGATGTGACAGTCAGTACGTTTACATGACACTCAAGAAAACCAAAGTGCATGTAAACACCTTAAGGTCCTTTCACACCGGGAGCGTTTTTTTCGTGCAATTATTTCCGACATCAATATTTTTTTTTAACCTGTATCCTGTCAATACAAGCGTTCACATCAGCGACGTTTTCCCGTCCTGCGATATTGCGGCATTTATTTTTTTTTGTATCACGGTCGATTTTCCTAAAGTTTCGCATACTGAGTGTCCACTTATGACCGATCAGATTTCATGTTGTTGCAACGTCAGATTCACCAGTATATCCAACATGGCCGACCAGCTGATTGTTTACGTGTCGGAGAACAGAGTGCTTTTTGATTAAAAAGACACAAATATTACAAAGATAAAGACCTGAAGGACAACTTGTGGAGAGTCATAGCGTTGGATTTCTCATATGACGATGGTTTGTGTGCTTTAACAGTTTGCTAAACGTCTTTGTTTTAACTTTCATCTGTGCTAAGTAACTTTAGCTCGTAAGCTAACGTGTTTAGATACAACATACCATATGTATTTTCACTGTCTCAAACTCAATCATGTTGCTGTCACAGCACCATTAGGTCTCGGTTGTTACCTTACGTTTATGGATTATAGTTTAATGTGCTTATCTGGTACTGGCCCCGACTCAGTACATGCTATCATGACAGACAGACATCTCAACACTAGAGTCTAATCAGAACTGAAAAACAGTCAGTCTGCTGTTGTGTCAGTCTTCTCGCTTCCACCCCGGACACGTTCTCCCCCCCCCCGCCCGGAAAGTCACAAAATCACGCCGCGCTTAATGTGTATAGTCAGGCGTGTCAAAATTTGCCTCCGAATATTTCATAATTTCGCATCGTACATTTACGTCGTTCTCGGTGTGTAAGGACCTTTAGTCCGACTATAATCAGAGTTTGAGAATTCTGATTGGAGTCTGAGAACTTCGATTAAGACACCCAGATAATGTGATTGGAATTCGGTTTTCTCTACCATGTAACCAGTGTAGTCAGAGTGTGATTGGACAATATATGTGCGTGTCATCACGCCCCCGTAACCCCAGAACAAAAACACCAGAGAAGAAGTGGTGCTATCATTTAAAGAACTTTCGACACATAAGCAACTGCAACATGGCTGAAGCAGGAAAGAATGTCCACTTTTGGAACAACGAGGAGAGTGCCGTTATGCTTTCCGTCCTGACTGAAATGGACATTTTAAAGTATATGGACGGTCACAAAATGAGGAACGGAGACGTCTTTAAAAAAGGTCCAAAAATAGCGCTGACCAGTTGCTCCCTAGTTTTGGGGAGGAGGGCACGTTCATGTCAATAACTCGGCTGCATGTGCACGCGGACAAGGAGAGAAGTGCGATTCGGTGAAAATACCAAATTATGAGCTCAGTCTGGCTGACTGAGAGCTGTTCGAGGGGAGGGGCCGCACCCACGCTCTGCTACTGCTGAGGAAGAGAGGGAGGGTGCGCTTCATTCATAAAGGACACAACGGAGGCAACACAGCAGGCTGTACATTATTGTTCGGTCTTGATATATATATCTTCATATTTTTCGTCTGTATAAAAAAACTGATTATTCCTCAGCCCAATCCTTGATGGTCAGTGAGTGTTGGTGATGGTCGAGTCATGAGCAGCTGTGCTACAAAGTAAAAAAGTTGGAATCAAATAGATTTAATAAGGCAATTTACATGCAAACGTCTAAGTGTGTGGACATGGGTGTGCTGAAAAAATCAAAAAGGAAATTTGTTGAAAATATAAAACAGCAATCATGAAACTGATTGGGGTCACTGATCACAAATGAAAACAGCTGTTATTGATGATTCCTTATATAGGAGGTGAGGTGAGGCCTTCGATTCTCCGTACTGTCTATATTATTCCAACAAACAGCTGCATAATGAGGCTCCACTGCAGAGAAGAAATAGGTCCACTTAGTTCTGAAGGGAATAAAACAATCAGCGTATCTGCTTTTGTCACTTCAGCAGTGTTTGAGGAGGGGAATTAGATCAGTCTAGAGGGCATTTCTCTTGGTCCAACCCTAAACACGCCCCACTGTGTTTGATTGCTCTCTGGGTATTTGAGCCCACACTGCTGATGATGCCTCAACACGCCGCCTGGATAAGGTCAAAAGAAGTAATGCAGCACAGATTCAAGAGATTGCTGTGAATTATTTAGCAGGAGAGGACTTAAATTTTCTTCATACTGCAGCCGAGGAGAAGAAAAACTATTAAACAAGAAATCTCGCCCACGTTCAGACTTCATTACCAAGTCAGCCCTTATTTTCCACAGCTGTCCAGATAGTGGGCAAAGCTCGGGAGTCTTATCTCCTCTAGTGTGGGGGTTTAATCTCCTCAACTGTTAGCCAGCAATTTAAGAATTACAAGCAAGGAAGATAAACATAAACAGCTTATTTCACTGCAAAAAAAACCCCCACCAATGCTCATCCTGAATGTGGCGTTAAAGGTGGGTAAAGATGCAGCAATTACATTTCCAAGCAGGTAATCAGTCATAGTTGGCAGCTCGCAATTAGAGGCGAACAATGTTGTTTAGCTCAAGTCACAGCTGGATACATCCATTTCTACCAAGAGGCTTTTATTTTGAAGGAATTATTCAGTTTTTTATAGTTATAGAAAACTTTAAAGAGATGCTTTAACATATAAAACATTTTAAAATATATATAAATAGTTTGGAATTAAAAAAATAGTAATAATACAATTTTAGCATTAGCCTACCTGGTGCCTTAGGGTAACACTTTTGTCATCTTTTGATTTTTAAGACAAAAATTTGGGAACAATTTTTACCTTTGACTCTGGCTGTAGGTCTGGGGACGATGGAGCTGTTCCTGCAGCTGACATTGTAGTCGGTAACTTCCACGCTGAGGTTTCCCTGCTCCACGCAGCCCGCCAACACCTCGACACCCTCCGCGCTCACATTCACCGTCTGCAGAGCCATCCTCGCTTGCGCCGATAACAATTAGGAGTGTTTTATTGCGCCTTTACGCGCTGTTTTCAGAGTGGAGTCGCGTAGAAATCAACTTGCGGCGGCGGGGTTTTTCTTCATAACAGCCGGAAAAGAAGCGCAGTGAAACTTGGAGGAAAGCCAATGAAGAAGTGTGGTATTAACACCCCGAACACCTCTGAAAACCCGGGTGTGAGAGGAGAATCACCGGAGTGCAGCAGGTTAATGAAGCGGTGAAGGAGGGGAAACCCCGTGAAGCAGTGCTGCGTTCACTGCTCTGGATTGAAACCTGCCTGTGAAGGAATGAAACCGCGCTGCTACGGCAACTGACTCTCTCTCTCTCTCTCTCTCTCTCTCTCTCTCTCTCTTCATACTCTCTCCCTCTCTTTTCATTCAGCTCACGACTGTCACTGTACAACTTGTAGTCAAAGCAGAGCTCATTGGGCTTCTAGCTGCCTGTCAGGCGGATGAATTTAGGGTATTCCCACATATCAGGAAAATTGGGGGATTAAACTCCAAATTTCAACAGTTCAAAAAAGGCTAAATTTATAGACCTCTGGATATGGTCAAGATGATGAAAAATTCGACAGCAGTGGATTTAGCCGTCTGTGTCAAACCCCTGCTGAATTATGGAGTTATGGTAATTCTGTTTGACTGACACTTTTTTAGCCAAGGGGCAACCTCCAGTCTTGAGAGATGAAGCCAACATGAAAGTACTAAAACTGCAGTTCCTTGAGTGTCCACTTGAGGTTGGCTCAAAAATTCCCAGAGGCCATTTAAACTAGAGATGCACCCATCCTTTATTTTCCGATCCAGTCCGATACCCATACCTTGGCTGAACGCATCGTCCGATATCCGATACCGATCCAATACAGCTGTTGATTGAATGAATTGAGTTCCCAGCATTTCGGTTACCAAGTCGGAAAAAAGCAAAATCAGATGCAGAAACAAGATGGCTACATCTAAGTAAGTTATTTTAGCGCTTGCCTTGTCCGACTATGAGGCAACTGAAAAGCTGGTAACTTGGGTGTGACGTCATTTTCAGCTCAGACATCTGACTTCCGAGGTAACTCAATCCTTTATTTTCCAATCCAGTCCGATATCATTACCTGGGCTGAACGTATCAGCCGATATCTGATACCAGTCCAATATGGCTGTTGATTGAATGAACTGTATACCTTGCCCTGTGAGTGGAGGCATCAGGCTTGACATTAGCCGTTTTAAAAAAAGCTAACAAATTAACACAGATAACAAATTGCACATTAGCACACAGCAAAAAGAAGTAAGACTTCCACGTCACACCCGAGTTATCAGCGTTTTGGTTACCAAGTCGGAAAAAGGCAAAATTGGAGGTGGAAACAAGATGACTACATCTATGAAATGTATTTTAGTGCTTGCCTTGTCCGAATATGAGGCAAGCGCTAAAATTTCGTAGATGAGGGACTTTGCATGATATTAGTGCAAATCTAAGATAATAACTGGTCAAATAACAGTAAATAACACTCAACAATAATTCTTAAAATTGTTAAAAATAGAGAAAAATACTGACAAAGGGACCCAAAGAATTCAGTGAAGATACATCTGCAAAACATTAGTTTTAAAAATCTTGAAAGCTCCACCTTTTTCTTCCCAGCTTGGATTAATGGAGCTTCAGAGGTTGCTTTTACCAAAGAAAAGTGTGTGAGAGTGTTAAAGGAAATTTGCATAGTTTAGTGGCTGGGTAAAGCAAAATAGATAGGCTATGTAAGTGCCAATTATAAACCACTTAAGATTTAAGAGCTTCATTAAAAACATCTATTAAAAAAATCTGCAGTATTTATAACAAATGTATCGCCCCAAAAGCCTTTCAATCAGCCGAGCAAGAATCATCACTTTGGAGACAGTCGTGGGTTGCTAATACGTTTATGTCCTGTGGAAAAAAATATACTTTTAAAAGCTTATGACAAAAGAGTTTTGGGGTCATAGACTGATGAAAGCTCCAGAAAGGTGGTGCCAGAGCACTTACAGCTCCCTTTAGTACAGGTCAGGCTCCACCATTTTGACAGATGGGACATGGGACAATTCAAAAAGTCCAATTATACTTCAAATAAACTTTTTTTAGACTAGGTTTCTTTTACTAAATTAAGTTATCATCATGTTCTTTTATATTCAAGAGTTTGTCCGGCTAAAAAGTTTAGTTTTCTTTAGTTAAAGTGAAGGTTGGTTCATGACTGGCGCATCTTTGAGATGTGATACCTGGCATTATGATTGAGATGGATGCCTTTCTCCTTGCTGGGTGAAGCCACTCCGAGAACAGCACCCTCTGTTGATGGGCTGCAGTATAGGTCATAAATCCCACCTCCTCCAGCAATCCCTATGGGGCTGTGGACAAACTTTAGAAATGTATTACACAGAATATACACTTTTCTCCCCTGCTTGCGATGTTGACATGTAGTAACTGTAAGACTGGTTTGTGCTCAAGTCCTCTTTTTTTTCTGTATAGCTCAATTTTTTTAAGTTATTGGGGGGTTCGGGTTACAGAGAGCTTTTCGGCTGAACCAAGTTGTCCATAGTATATACAGTCTATGGTGGGGGGGCCTTACCAGCTCCCATCTCATTCAGGGCCCTGTAAAAGCTGAAGCCGGCCATGTCTGGCTGTCCTTCTTGGCCCTCAAGGTCTCCCAAGTCTCCCTCCTCCAATTACTGGTTCAGTGCCATAGATTTTATTCGAACTACACTTTCCTGAAACTGTTTCATTTTTATGTACCTTTTTGGCGGATCGATACCAGGACAATCTTGTTTTCTCAAGGAATGGATGCTGTTGTTTTCTCTGCTCAGGTGAAAAGACCTTCAGGTCGCACTGGCTGTCAGAGGGTATCATCAGTGTGACAGAGAGACACAATCCTAAAAGGTCTAGAGGAGGAAAAAGCAGACACTTTTTCCTAAGATTGTCTAGTGATCTAAAGCAGAGGATGCCGCCATGGTTGCTGATGTTTTTTGGTTTTTCTTTCCACATGAATAGATATTACTTTTTCTATGCCCCTGTTGAAAGTGTTTTTCTCTCGTTCTGTTTGGATGTCTCTTTTATATTTACACTCAGGCTGTTTCAAATAAATTGTTTCAAACTAGAAAATGTCCTGGAGACTTTTTGGAGCCAGTGGAAAAATTGTTAGATTTTCCATTTGACTATTTGGTGAACCGGCAGGAGAGAGGCGAGAAGATCAGAGACCCCCGATGTGCAGAGTGATGGCTTTGTTTATGGGGAATGATCTCTTAGAGCCTCGGGGTTAAGTTTATGTTTTACCACTTGAGAAACTACACCAATGCGGTAAAAAACGTCTGCAGGCTGTGGAGGAGGAGGGGGAGTAAGTTTGCTCTGTGGGGGAGGCGAGTTTAACTATTTGTGTTTGTCATAGGTTCAGTGGTTGCTCAGTACTTTTGAGGGTTTTTCAAGCGCTGCTGCAGCCGTTGTTTCTGTTTTTATGCTGCTTCCATGTGGGAGGTGTTTTTGTGTTCATGTGTAGCTCCAGCTTGGCGAACACATCCAGGTCTTTCTTCCTCATTTTTTAAGATAAGAGCCTTAACAGTAAAGTCAAAAGTCTCTCCCTTCGGCCCTCTCCAAACCTTCACTGCTGTGATTTCGGCCGCCGCTCTGTATTGATTTCCATCGCGCCAAGGTCTGCGCATAGGTCAAGCCCAGCATGTCTGATGAGAGGTGGGACTCGAGTCCTGATACTCCTGGGTGTCAGAACATCAGGCTCTAGCAGAGACAGTTGAAAGCATTTCACTTCAGTGTGACTGAAATTCTCTGTGCAAAAACCTGCTCAAGTCAAGGTAACGTAAGTCAAAAAACGAGACTTGCATAAGAAGGAATGCGCGTCCAGACGTTTTAAAGAATTCATGGGGCGCCTCAGGACAGTTCAGCAAATACTGATGAGCTTACAACAACTTTTCTTAAGGCCAAAAACAGGAGAACTGACCTCTAACTCTGAAAGATCACAGTGAAGATTGGAAAGTGAATGCTAATATTGAAGCAACCAAGTTTCATATGGAGCACACGTCAGATTAGATACTTCTCAATCCCTACTTAAAACCCACGCAATAAAGCAGTTCTTAGGTGAAGACCTGACCTGACCCCTTCTACTACTGAGCCATACTGTTGTAATATTTACAGAATGTGTTGTTTACATATGCAAAGTCATATCTGAAAAGACACAGTCTTGACAGTGGCATAAAGTTCTTTTAAAACCTGTATTTCTCGTTCAGCATTAGTGGTGCTGTGACTGATGTATAAGCTACCCATGCCACAGTCATCGATGCATCCCCATACCTCTGCAAGCGCTGGTTTTTGAACTATGGGCTAGATGGTTCCTCTCCTTTTCTCATGTTTGTGGTTTCCAAAAAGAAAATTATTTGCCAGACTTAAAAGCAGTTTTTCTGACTCAATCAAAAGTAGCTGCTGTTTCATACGAAGTATAAATTGCTAGCTTTTTGCATGGCACAGTTTTATCTTGCATTTGTAAATACAGCTACAAATTGTGTTAACAGGCAATGATTTTTAGAGCCCATGCAGTGACTTCCACTACAGAGTCATGTATGTGGGCTCAAAAATCACAGCCATTGAGTTTTTTTACTATTTATACAGAGAGTTTAAAGCAAAGGAAGGTCCAATCTAAACACCTGCAGCATATCTGGTGGGTGCAACTTTACGCTGCCGTTCGCATCAGTGAAAATAACCTCAGTTGTAGCATGGGTGTAATTTTAAGGTGCATGAACTATAACCCCAGATTTCCACCACATCCAGAACGGCTCCAATCCAGAACGGCATCCGCCAATTCCTACCAGATCTGTTTGTGAGGCGAATTTCGTGGCGGATTACGGACAGCAGGAATCTCACAAGAACCCATGGATTCACATGCAATCACGCTATAAGTTGTCTTTAGCCACGTAGGCTAACCATATACGCAGTAGATTATGTCCTTCCAGAGGAGGAAATCTACTTCTAGACTTATAAAATCAGCATCCTCTTATCTGTGGTGTCACCGGGATGAAATGCTGTCTATAAACCTTTCACCTGTTCTTCCCTGCCTGTTTGCGTGTTGTGAAATACGATCCGCCTGAAACACTGTTTTATTTTGAAAAGAAGCCAGATGGTTTAATTTGTGATGAATTTATTCGGCATGCTCTGGTGTCTGGAAATAAATAGAACTCGTGCGATCCACAGCGGAATGGAAAGAAGCCGATGGAAATTGACACATTACATAATTATATAATGTGTCAATTTCCATTATATTATATTATAATTTAAG